TGGGCACTTTGGTGCAAATCAAAAGCGCATCTTCCATTCGTACGCCAGCCATCCGCACCCGTCCGGAAATTCACCTGCAGTATCCCCGCCTGCTGTGTTACCCATCGTATGCCATCTGCCTCTTCTCCATTGGCTGAACCGTCCAACGTCCTTTTGTTCGCTCCGCGCCGGCCAGGAGCAACAACCGGGTGCCATGGCATCTGCTCATCTTCCCCTGTTATCAGAGTCCTCAAGCCATGTCCCTGGAGCGAGCCGCCCGAATTGCGGTGTGGGAGCCGTGGTCTATGCGCAAGACCTTCCGATGCGTTGCGCCTTTTGCCGTTCCCTGTCAAATATTACGCTGCAGCTTCGGAATAGCACTCAGGCTGCCAGGCTCGGTTTCTGGCTGTGTTGGCCAAGCCGGATTTCCGCCTTGCCTCCAGCCACGGCAGCCAGCTTGACAGCTAACTGGCACCTTTGTCCTTTGACAAATAATTGTGAGCACGCTCCTCGAGATTATCAGAGCAACTTTCTCTATCGGGGCTGTTTGACGTCTTTCAAAGGAGGCCCTGGGGTCATAAGACCTTGTGATAATACATCCTGGCCGCTCGTCGTTTCTTCACATCTTCTACCTACTGCAGCCATGAGTTGCGACGTTGTAATACCCATCTCACCTCGGCCAGCAAGGCAGGACGCTACGGCCTCTCGGCTACAAAGCATCCGCCGTTCGTAAGAGTGGTCGTGGCCACCGAAAGGCCGGAACACATACCAACCCGGTTTCTTTGTACTAGATAAACGCATGGCCGAACACCAGACAGCAATTCTCTTACGAACATCAAGAACCCAACGACGCAATGAGTGCGTATGGACTGGCACCGAGATTATTATCGACGATCTCGCGACCTCCTGGCCACATTCAGTCCGCTTCTCAGCACCTGAGCCAAAGCCGGTAGACGATGCAGGCACACGTCGTAGACGCGAGGTGGATAATCAGGGGACCTTGTCCTAACAGCAGACAAGGTCTAGGGCACCCGGAGGTGATCCGGTTGCCGCGCTAGCACGGGCGTGGGCCCGCTCCATGATGTGCGCTCGCCTGGCTGTTCGTCTGAAGTGCGAGGTTCATCTCGGATAAAGAGGCAAGACAATGCCGTTCAATGTGTCTCCAGGCTCAAAGTCTCCGGAGTTGTCAGAGTCTATACGCCTGATCTCTCATCTGAAACGCCGAGGTGTCCAGGAACAGAGCCGTGCAACCATTCAATCGAAACGGCATGGTCGCATCCAAAGTCAAGATCTAGTCGTGACGTCAAACAGCTCAGCCGAACAGAACCCTATGCATAGCCAGTGCCTATACTCACAGTCACAACCTTGGGTTTCAAGGGATGGAATGGCCCTACGTCGTAATCATTGCACTACAGATAGGTTCCTAATGGAACAGACATGCCCTGGCGTTGAGTTGTTCCAGTGTAGAAAGCTTAATCCTCCCGTCTAGCATCCCTGCCCACCTCTCTTTAGCGGTATCCAGTCTTCAAGACCAGATTGGCTTGGACGGCTCAAATGACAATGGGACCAACAGTCATCGGCGTCACCTCGGCTCCGGGCCATCGCATCTCAAGCATTTGGATATCCTCGGGGCTAGGAACGGTCTGCTGAATGCGCGTCATCCACAGGAATTCGCCATCGGAGTTTATTCGCAGATGCAGATCGCCGTTTGCCGAGCTGTCAAAAAAAAGGACTCTAGCGGCAATGCCCGCGCGCATGGTAAACTTTTTTCTTTCCGCCGCGACAGGCCAACCAGATTTTCAGGATTACCACCGCCGGCTCTTCAGATGGTCTCAATTCGAGATGGGCCAATCATCGAGGGAGACTTTGCTCTTTCCGGGCCAAATCTTGCATTCAAGGTTGTCTGGATGCCAGGACGACACTCGTTGACATCCGAGGCACTGGTTCCTGCGACATTCATTGGACTTTCAAGAACCAGAGGGCATCGGTCTAAGCAGGGGCAAGAGGGCAAAGGTCAAGAAAAGAGCTGCGGCCCTCTGCGCGAGGCTTGTGTTGGCACGGGACGGGAGATGACCGACTGATGTGAAAAGGCCGAGATGTGACTGGCTTGAGCATTCTGCAAGGTTTCGATGTTTGGACGAAAATCCGGGGTGCATTCTTACCAGTCACAATCATGCACCAGTTTCAGCCTGGCGGAGCAAGTGCAGAGCCCAAAGACAATTGCGCAACGAGGCAAACGTCACTGCTACCCAGACGAGTCACTGCGCGGTTAAATGAAACGGCATCCTCTGGTTTTTCTTTACTCAGGGAACTCGAATTGAGTTTGCTGTCCATCGGCTCTAGGGCAGCGCCGAGGGCCGGCAGACAAACCTGCCGCGGTGGCCAGAGGCAAAGGAGACGGAGCACAAGTCTACCGGCGTGGATCCAAGGGCAAGTTTTTTCACCCTCGTGCCAATGCCAAGCACGTAGTCGCTTTGCGATCAATGTGCGCATACAGACTCCAGACCTCCCGCCTGGGAACGTTACAGCCGGCTGGGAGGAATCATCAACACCAGGTCACAAGACCATCGGACGAGGCCGCAGCTCTGTTGCGTCGAATAGAACATCCTGGGGTAACCTGAAGCCCTGCTGCTGCCGCCAATTGCCGCTGGTTCTAGACCCGACACAACGTGCAGCAACAGCAACAATATCACTCAGAGTCGCACTTTCAACCGCTTGCACGCCTTGGTTCCTTTCGAAGTATGCACAGCTCGGCCAGTCACAGAAAGGCCTTGCCAGCCTCGTTTTCTGCATCTCCGCCTTGCAATCTGGTTTCATCGTCAACCTCGCGAGCCCGAGAACAAAGACAGAGACGTTCGTCGTTGGAAAACGTCCACATCCACCCCGCGTGTTTGCCATGGCCTAGAGCCGGCGATTCGCAGATTGCGATCAAGTGACACGCGCAGCTTGAATGACACCACCAGCGACTTTGCCTATCCCAGACAGGGCGCAGCTTTGGGGTCCAGAGTAGAGGGACAGGGGCCCAAAGACCCCTCGGCAGGGCGAGTGCTTGGGGCCGGGCTGGGAAGAGGGTGCGTGGTGTTTTTGGCTGGATGTCGTTGTTTTCATTACGTTTTGGTTTGTCAATGACTGGCTCCCCGGCCCCCGCGGTGTCTTTAAACGTCCACACTCCCTGCCAGCCAACGCGGCCGATGCCTCTGGCCTCTCAACCGCTGCAAAACCTCCCGGCAACGGACTCTCTATCCTTTCCCCTCTTTCTCTCACGGCCATGTGCCATCGTGTGTTCTGTAGTTACCCACTGCAGAAAATACAAATTGGGGGGAAAGAAAAAAAAACGAGCCCACATGTTGTCCACGTCCAGGCTAAACATCACCGAGACCGTGCCCCTGGTGTGGGGAAAGCCACTTAAGCCAAGGCCCCAAAACCAAGAGAGAAAGAAAAAAATATTTCAGCGACCTTGTGATCACTTGTTGGCGCAACCTACGTCAGGCTGGAGGAGCAGGCCAAGGATGTGCTTACGCCGTACATGGGAAAGGTCGCGCAACATCTGCTTGCGGCCATGACCGAGATGCCAATGCCAATGCCAATGCCAATGCCATCCTTGCCTCCGTCCTCCTCCCACCACCACCACCACCAAACGAAGCTTAAACAAAGACCGAGTAAAACTGCCTGCTGCTGTGCCTCCACGTTTCTATTTAAGTCCTTTGTCTCCCGTCCGTCGTCGCCGCCGGCACACTACACACCCGTATTGCACTGTCACCAGAATTTGATTCCAGGAGTTCCAGTGTTTCTGCGTTGTCGTCTTGCCATCAACTCTTGAACCACACCGCATCGATCGCCGTCTGTCCCGAGAAACGCTCCTCGCGTTCTCGTCATCCCTCGCCCCGGTCTTACTCCGACCCACGCCCGGCTCATCGACGACTCATACATACCTCCCCAAGCAAAAGACTCGCGCTTCGCAAAAGCGACCCGACAGACACCAAGCACTAAAACCAGACATTTCCTCGCACATCCTCACCATGCTTGCCTCCCACGGCCGCGGCGGTGCCGGCAACATGGCCGACAGCACCAAGTCGCCCAAGGTCACCCCTAAGGACCTCGAGACCCCGACCCTCAAGACCTCCGTCGTCACCACCGGCCGCGGCGGCTCCGGCAACATGGCCAAGAACGCCGACCCCTACGAGACCCGTCTGCGCCAGGACGTCGAGGGGTGAGTCCCATCCGCCACTTTTGCCCGCAAGAAGCACCCTTGTGACTAACATGCTCCCCTCACAGCGTCCCCCGCCGAGAGAGCAACGGCGCAACCCACTACGGCCGTGGAGGCGCCGCCAACGTCTTCAAGACCGGCTCCGAGGAGGAGGCCGCCGCGAAGAAGGCCAAGGCCGAGGCGACGGCCGCCGTCGAGGACGACGAGTCTTCGCTGCGCAAGACGCCTTCGCCCACCGGCGGCCGCCGCAGCCCCGAGGACGGCAACGGCCTCGCCGCCAAGGGCAAGCAGTGGCTCAACAACCTGACCAAGAAGGCATAAGCGCTTTCTTCTCTATTTCTTTTCCATGCACAGCTTTTCAAGCGATTATGATAATGACCAATTCGACTTATTCGCCCCTTCTGGGGACGTCGGGTCATGCACATTGGCGACGGAGTTTGGGGATTGGAAACAGGAAAGGACATCAAAGATGGTCTCCCTGGGGCGTTTGGAATGGGCAACGAAAAACGTTGAAACGACACAAAAAAAGTTTACGATACCATATTCAGCTATTTGATGAAAACAAGGGACGGAAAGGAAAAGGAAAATATTCATGTCATCACTTCTCTCATTTAAAAGCATTACATGCTGTCCACATATTGCCCGGCAGCTGTTGGCTTGCAACAAATGATATTGAGATGCGATTTTTGGTTTATACCTATGCCGTCTCTAGTAAGACCAGTAGAGATGTGCCCCTTCCAGACGAACACCTTTTATACGCCCGTGACATCTCTCGAATAATGATTCATGTGTTCTTCCGTACCCTAACACCTTTTTAGTTCTTCGTCAGACGGTGGATCTCAGACAAGTAGAATCTGAGGTCCTCGGGGTTGACACCCGGAGTGATGCCTGCCAAGTATTAGCCACGCCCGTTCTTCCGTTGATACGCAATGCGAATCCGCGTGTATCGACTCACCGTGTCCGAGGTTGGCGATCCACCCCTTCTTCTGGCCCCAGAAGCCATTGACCATTTCCTCGACCGCCTTGGTGATGTTCTCGTGGGTGCCGTAGAGGACGCCGGGGTCGGCGTTGCCCTGGAATGTGATGCGTCTGTCCCCACGGATCTTGACGGCGTCGGCAGGGCTCTGCATCCAGTCGAGACCGACGACGTCGTAGCCGATGTCGCAGACCGTGTTGAGGGCATGCCAGCAGCCCTTGGGGAAGACAGTCATGGGCACGCGCTCGAGGTTCATCTCCTGCAGCTTCTTGGGGAGGTTCGCGGAGATGTAGGAGAGGTAAGGCTTGCTGAACTCCTCAAAGGCAGCCGGGCCGAGCTCGCCAGCCCACGAGTCAAAGACCATGATGCTCTGGGACAGCTGTCAGTCACAAGGGAGACGTCGCAGTGCGGAAAGAAGACATACCTGTGCTCCGGCCTTGACTTGCAGGGCGAGGTACTCAACGCAGACCTCGGCAATCTTCTGCAGCAGTTTCTTGGACTCCTCGGGGTATCTGTAGATCCACGTCTTGCTGTGGATGAAAAGCTTGGTGCCGCCACCCTCGACCATGTAGCAGAACAGCGTCCACGGGGCGCCGCAGAAGCCAATCAGGGGCACGCGGCCGGCGAGCTTCTTCCGCGTGAGGGTGATGGCCTTGTATACGTAGTCGAGCTCGGCGGCGACGTCGACGTTCTTGGCCATGACCTGCTCGTACTGGCCGTCCGTAGGGCTCTTCAGAGGGTCGGGGAAGTGCGGTCCCTTCTTGTCGACCATCTCGACGGTCATGCCGAGGGCCTGGGGAACGACGAGGATATCGCTGAAGATGATGGCAGCGTCGAGGAGACCGGCGAAGCGCTCGATGGGCTGCAGGGTCAATGTGCTGGCAATCTCGGGATCGCGGCAGCAGGCGAAGAAGTCGCGGTTACCCTTGGCCTCGTGGTACTCGGGGAGATAACGTCCGGCTGTCTGGAGTGAGCTGCTGTCTTTTCTTCGTTGTCTACGGTGCTGGTCCGAGGGGTCCTTACCTTGCCGCATGATCCAGCATGGCGGGCGCTCGACCGTCTCGCCTGCATCGTCATGTTAGTCTGCGTCTCAATTGCAGCGATTGAAAGCTTGTGCTTACCGCGGGCTGCCCGCAGCAGCAGGTCGTTCTTCAATGGCTCAAATGTCAACTCCATCTTGTCTGGTCGGCCGGCGTCTGTGATGTCTGGATGTGCCGGTGTAGATCCTCTCTGGATGCAAGATGCCCCGCGTAATCCGCGACCGCTGAAAACCCCGCCAAAGCTTCCCCCCTGTCCTGTCCAGTCGCAGGGCGTCGCCGAGGTAGCCGGCCGGAGCGGCTTAGCCACACCCGACCGCACTGAGGTCGTGGCTGCAACGAATAGTGGGCCGGCGAATACAAGCTCTTCCAAATTCGCTGACCTCCCTGCCAATTCGAACCCCCACGATACAGCGATTCAAACGCGCCAAAGCGACCCAATTGACCGCCAAACCCGCGTCCGAATTGACGCTGCTGACCTTGCTCGCTAGGCATGGAACAGGCGCATTATAGTCCATCAATCAATGAACAGTCGGATGCGAAACGAGCGTCCCAATGTCCTCCCGACCGACCGCGCGCTGCACCCGAGCCGTCCAGCAGCTTCGAGCACCGACAGAAGCGATATGGATCACGGATGGGCTGCTCACGAGCGCCTTTGAGCGATACTGCCATGTATCGCACCTCGCGCGACGGAACTCGAGCTCCACGCCCGGCCCGCTGGAGAGCAGGAAGCGGCTTGGGAAGCGGAAGATGACGGCCATGTACCTCGATCACCAGTCAACCCTGCCGCCCTGGGCCATGGAACTCCCCGTTGACCTCAGCAAGTGGAAGTGGCAACCGCCGACTCTTCGTCAGTCGAGCGGGGGAAACGATCTGCACGTCGAGAAAGACCGGCCGGCACCAGCAGCGTCGACCACACCGTGGACGGTGATACAGAAGATGATGAGGACCCTTGCCGGTGAAGAAAAAGCCCAAGAAGACGACGGGAGGGAAACTCTACCGGCCGACCCCCTTATGGAAAGGCTCTCTCAGGCTCGATCGGCCGTTGCTGCCTCTACACCGCAAGCGATGGACCCGGCATTTTGGAGCTTCACGCGGCACCTTGAGCAGGACATCAAGTTGGGCGCACTGGACTTCGATGCGGTGGTGATGGCTGTCTCGACATTCCCATTGTCCCTCGCCAACGCAGAAGCCGACCGGCAGGTCGTCGACACTGCCATTAGGGAATTCCTCTCGGCCGTGGTCAGCGGCATCAAATCGTCCAGTCGTTTCAGCGCTGCGGATTTCAAAGACACTTTCTGGAACATGGTCCTAATACAGGCATCTCAGCTGCTCGGGGGGCGCACAAGTCTACCGCTGGTTCAAACCATACTCGATGCGATTCCTCTCTCCTACATCGATGATGTCCACGAGGGCGTTGTTGCGGCAGTGCAAAGCCTAGTCGCGACCAGCCTACAGTGGCGCACGCGGCCCGCGGACATTGGCGTCGCGCTCCGCAGGCTATCTCCCGAGGACCACAACGCACTACTCGGCAAGTTGGAAACTGCCATTCACGAAGGTATGAGAAAGACTCGGAACCAGACGCGTCAATTATATTGGTTGCAGATCTTGGCGCACATGCCGCTGGTAAGGCAGGACTACCTGCTAGACGCTTGCGTCAGATCGGCCTACTTCGACCAGTGTTTGCTTGGGCCCGCCGGCCGACATCTCAGCGAGCTTCTGTTTGACCAATGGACGAGCCGTGGGTATCTGCAAAGCCATGGAGAGGGGGTTGCTGAATGGCCACGCGACTGCGCCGGCCGTCCTGACCTCAGTCTGGCCGCGCTGGTCGTCAAAATCGGCTACAACACCCCCTTCAACTACATCGCCAAGACCGTATGGATCCTGCTAAGCCTACTGAAATTCTTGCGTCGCTTCGGGCGTCAAGAGGAACTGTTTGATTCCATGCGAGCTTACTGTCAAGTCAACACACGCATCCCCATCATTCCGTTCTCGCTGCTGGCCAAGGCGGGCGGCGATCACCGTTTCGCTCTTACCACACTTTCGATATTGGAGAACCATGCGGATCGCCTGGATGGCAAAAAGCGGCAATGGTGGCAGTGGTTGCCCCAGTCCGAGAGGGACAAGCAGATCCTCAAACAATGGGATTGGAAAGCCTGGCCGCGCTACGTGGAGGGAATGATCAAGGATGAGTCCATCAACCCCGCCATCGTCTGGAAAGTGGTACGCAGTGGGGCCGTGGCCGACTTTCGGTGGAAGAAGGACTGGCGCCGGGTCGATACACGGAAGAGCGTAGCACGACAGCTGCCGTACGAGCGGCGTTTGGCAGAGGCAGAGCGATGGAAGAAGACGAGGATCGAGCTGATTCAGAATATGGCAGTCTGGTTTTCAGAGGCAAAACATCTCACTGACAGCACCATACTACGTAACGTGGGGCGGTGCGTTACGTGGCTCAGGGCACATGAGGTCGAGCTCGAGCACAGGGTGGTCTTGGCGGTGGTGACTGTAGGCTTGCGGGAGCTCAAGAGGTGCGAGCCTGGGAGGACGCGTCGGATATCCTGGGTGTTGGACATTATCGAGGAGCACGGAGGGGAGAAGGAGAGGCGGCTCGTTGCTCGAAGACTGCAACGGTGGAGGGAGGCCAACGTTGCCTCGGGCGAGCGTGCGGAGGAAGCGAAATCAGGGTAGCAGGGTCTCGTCGGAGGATGGAACACACTGTGAAGTCATGTGTGTCCCCCCCAACCAGGCGTCCGTGAAGGGAATGTGAGACGTTGAGACATGGGGCCTGGGGCATCGAGTCTAGCGCAGCGAGTCCACGGCAGTGGTGCCTGAAGGGAGGCCCTCCCAAGGTGAGACACGAGAGAGTGCAGAGTTGCAAAGAAGAGGCATACTAGCGCAATGTACGGAATTCTGCAATGAACAATGTTTCGTGTCGGGAGAACATTCGTTCGCCACGAGGCATCATGGGCCGGAGCGGCAGAGCGGTTGATGGTGGATGGTGTATGATGCGAAACATGGCAACGAAGATTCCGGCATTGGAATCTACTCAGTCATTGAAGCGGAGACCACCATCGGCCGGGCCCGAGGAGAAAGTGCGCTGGATGTCTCTGCCGCATGCGTACGGCGAGAGTGTCGTGACCCCCATTGGAACCATCCACCGGATAGCAACCCACAAAACCCTTTGTCTGTTGTACTCTTGACTCTGATGTCTCTGGCCGGCCTCATGAGACAGGCCCAACTTTTTTCATCACCAAGGAAAACCTTGTTTGGGCGGTGCGCGTGCTGCGTGTGGTAAGAACAATTGCGGCAGGCCGATCCGTCTCCCACGTGTTTGCGCGGGCGGGCGGGTAAAGGGCAAAACGAGACAAGCAACAAAAGAGACGAGATCAAGGGTTTGCCACGCCGGCCAGACTCCGGAGGGTTGACCACGGTCATTTGCGGCCCAAAAGGCCAGGGCAAGGGCCAAACGGTGTGGACAGTGGTTGGGTAGGTGGTGGCGGTGAAGCAGCAGAAAGGGGGCGAACGGTGTGCAATCTGCTTGTATGTCTACCTAACCTAGATATGTAATATACGGATAATGCAGCTCATGTGTGTATACTGTGTGTTTGCTTGAAGCTGCGCCGACCAGGGGTTCACGACGAGGTTGCAAGGCAAGGCCCCAGGCACAGAAACAGAAACAAGCAGACGTGAAAGAAGACGGCAAGTCGGAAGACTCGGGTGTGGCTCCAAGAGGTAAGTGCTGCTGTTACTGCATTGGGACGTCGAGGCTTAGCGTTCTCCTTCTTGAGGCTCTCTGTTCGTCGTGGAGGGTGTCTGTGGGTTTTGATAGGAGATGCTTCTAGACGGGGGTTTGGAATGGCTAGAAGGCAGATGGAAGCGGCATCGAGGGATCTGGTCCGTTTATCCAGCCCCTCTGGTACCGAGCAGCTGTTGGTTGCTGGGATGGTGGTCCTTCATCTTGGTAAGAAATATGACCTATGCAACCAAATCTGAGGGCTAGAGCAAGTGAGTGCAAGAAAGACGAACGTGCCGTGTCCTATGCCCGGCGTAGATTTGTTGGAAGTGAAGGAGTGCGAGGTCCGCGGGGTGGGGGGGTAACCAGGGGTGGTGGTGGGTGATGCAGCAAGCAATTGGCGTATTCGGCCGAGGCATTCGGCGAGTCCAAGTACATAGCACACAGCCTGCTTGCCCGCTTGCCCACTAGGGCCATGGGCCAAGAGGTGCTGGGCCGCGGAGGGTCTCTCTAAAGGCGTAATTCTCCTCTTGCTTCTAATTATTACGTGCAGCGAGGATGGGGAAGATGAGCAAAGAAAAAGAAAAACCAAGTGGGATTGGCGCCAGTCGAGGTTGCTTCGCGAGGTGGATGACATCGAACTCGACTGACAATCGCTGTAAAGAAAACCCTAGCTGGCGTTAGCTCACATGGCCCTATTAGATGGAGGTTGGGCCTATATCGCCGTGGACAATGGGATTGGGCATTTCCCCATCCATGCAGCATGCACCACAAGTGCCCTGCGGAATGTTCCATTCAGATTTCGCAGAGACAGGCAGCAGCAGCAGTAGCAGCAGCAGCCGCAGGACGAGACAGATCAACCCATCAACCCTGCTTATGCCTGTGTCTTGCTGTCTATCTGTCTATCTGTCTGTCCATGTGTCCGTCTGCCTGCCCACTGTCTGTGTGTCAAGAGCTTGTACCTACACACACGGGGAGGGAGACAGTGACGGAGAGGAAGAGAAAGAGGTAGAGAGAGAGGGAGAGAGAACTGAACAAGGAACAGAGACGGTGCCAGAGACACAGAGGCAGACCGAGACGAGCCGGTCACGACCAGACAAGACAACGATGAGCACGACACGACTGGCGAGGAGGATCAGGGACTCGAGACGGACGGGGCAAACGCCGGCGCCAGGCCAGGGCTCGGCAGCTAGGGGACTGCCTCACGGATAGGGCGCGGCACTGTCGAGGCCGGGACAGATAAGCTCTCGACCGATGCATCGATGCTTCGACAGCGCGCAGGCACAGCATCACGTCCTTGACCTGTTTCCTCCAAGGTCCCTCCAAGGCGCAGAAACTAGACGATTATCTCCGTTGACCTAACGTAAGGCTCCGTCGCCTCGAGCGCAGCGTGGAGGGACAGGAATAGAGGCCAGGCGAGAAGCAGATTAGCGAAGCCGGCGCTGGCGCTGAGGTGTGTGCCTGTTGCGTGATGTTGCGATGAACCATTCCCTTCGTGGAGGTGTGTCTTGGGCAGAGAGAAAGACGCCAGGGGGGGCCGAACCCCCGCATCCGGAAGTACTGGCTACCTAGGTACCTAGGTACACTGCCCTCCCCACTGTGCGTGCGTGCGTGCTCACCTCACCTCCACCGTCACTTGTTGCTCACCTCGGGGTCGCGCCTCCAGACCCCACGAGGGACCCCTCGTCGCCCGCTGCCGCCAGGTAAGGAAGGTATCGCATACGCACACCCCTTGCACACCGTGCCTGTCTGTCTACCTACCTTCATCCCATGTTGTTGTTGCTGCTGCTGCTGCTGCTGCTCCTCGTTCTCTCTGTTCGTCCGTTGTTGGACACGGCGTAGCGCGGCGCACAAGTCCAAATCCAGTTGCAAATTCACGACACCCCGTCTTTTTTTTTTTTTTTTTTTTTGGTTGCCTTTTGTGCCGGAAGGCGGAAGCTGCTGCTTATTCTTCTTCCTCTTCTGCTGTACACTTACATGGATACATAGTCCTGTGTACACCCGCACTCCAACGCTCTCGAATCCTTCCACGTCCTCTTGCTTGAGTCCTCTCTCTCGACCGCCAACACATCCCACCACCTGCCAACACCACGCCAACCCGAACTCTTACACAACACCACCACCACCACTACGATTCGACTGCTCGACACCACCACAATCAAGCAGCAGCCAGACCGGGGCCCAGTCTAAATAAAAATCACCTCCTGCATATTCCGCCCGCTCCTCCCACACGCACACACACACGCGCGCATACATCTCCGGCGACCACCCTGCTCCAAGTGGCCCTGCAAATACAACAGCCCACGTCCTTTTTTACGTCCGTAACTCCCCCCGGACGACCCAGCCGATCCTCAACCGTTCCCAGTCTCTACCCTCTTTCGATCGCCATCTCGACCTCGCCCAACGAATGACCGCGCTGTTTGTCTGTCGTCGAACCTTAACAGGAACTCATATCACCCGCCCTCGCACGCTCCGCCGTTGACAGAAAGACGACAAGTGACAGAACAAGACCGCCGACCAACCATCAAATGGACCAAGGCCATTATTCCGCTGCACGTCATGCGCCCGGTGCTTCCATCTACTCGGCCCAGGCACCGGGTCACCCTCACGCCTATCAACAGCTTCCGCATTCCCACCCACATCAGCACCACACTCACTCGCCCGTCAACCCTCACTCGCCGCCCCATGGCCAGCCACAGTATTACCCCATGAATCCTGTGAGCCCCTCCGCGCCCGGCCCCTCCATGGCAAGCCCGCGCGTACTTCCCAACTCAGATCTCATGCCCGGCCCTCCCCAGTCGCCCGGATCAGCAACATCTTCTGTGCCCGGTAAGACGGGTGTGCCCGCCGGTGCTACCTCTCCCGGCGCCTCGGTCGCTGGCTCCGCCATCAGCTCCAAGCCCATCCGCAGGCGCATGCGCATGATCACTTCCTGTCTCGAGTGCCGCCGCCGCAAGCTCAAGTGCAACAAGTCGCAACCATGCGTCAACTGCATGAAGTTCTCGCGCGACTGTGTCTACCTCAGTCCCAAGCTCGACGAGGCCAGCCAGCTTCGTCTAACAGAGATCAAGGAAAAGGTCGGCTCCTTGGAGCGCCAGTTGGAGCGCGACGTGGCAAAAACGACCTCCCGCGCTGCCCAGCAGCAAGCAATCCTGGCCGACGACGTCGAAGATGAGTTCGCCGAGGAGCGCGATCTCGAGCCCACGGACATGACGGCGCTCGATGTCACCTACGATGAAGATGCCGACGGCACAGACGATCTCATCGATCTCGGTGTTCAAGTTGGCCGCATGCGCATCACGGAGCGAATTGGCGGCCTTTCCAGGCCTAGGATAGCAGAAGAGGTGCGTATTTGGACAGTCGTCCGAGTTCTGGGCAACATTCTAACCGCAATTCGTAGATCTCTGCCGGGATTTCTGGCGGGCCTCCCGGTTCAGGAGGTCCTCCCGGCCCTCCTCCCATGGGGGCTATGGGAGGCATGGGAGGCATGGGAGGCATGGGAGGCATGGGAGGAATGATGGGCGCAATGGGAGGAATGGGAGGAATGGGCGGGGCCGGACGTGGCGGGCCGCCCCGTGGTGGACCGCCCCCTGGGTATCCCGGTTTCCCCGGCCCACCGCCGGGCATGGATGCCATGTCCACCGTCAGCGGAGGTTCCAACGGCTCACTCCCCGACTTTTTGAGGCCGGGTGAGTCCTACATTCCTCCCTCGAGCGGCTTCTTCTTTGGCCAGTCGGCCGAGGTGCAGTCTTTGGAGTCTTTATTGCCCACTAGGGAAGCCGCGGACCGTCTTCTTCAACAATACTTCCACGCCGTCCATCCCGTTGCGAGATGCGTCCATCGCCCAACGTTTGAGAACGACTACCAGAGTTTCTGGGAGGAAATCTACAGCAATTATGAGCCACGGCCGTCCACGCAGGCCATCATGTTCGCGGCGTGGTTCAGCGCCGCGGTAAGTATGGACGAGCAGGTGGTCTACCGCCTGTTCGGGGTTACCAAGGCGTCCTTGATCGACAGGCTCAAGGCCGCGACGGAGACTGCGCTGGGAAAAGCCAACTTCTTGAGGACGACGAGAGTCGAGACGATGCAGGCTTTCGTCATGTACATGGTGCGTCCTATCCCAATTGCTTTTGTGCTTGCAATTGCTGACTTGGCATGCAGCTTCCGCTGTGCAGAGCCGAGGTGTCCAGAGCTCACTCCGTGCTCGTGGGCGCCGCGGTGAGGATGGCAGAGTGTATGGGTCTGCACAGGGACGGAGAAACATACGGGTTGAACCCCCTCGACACTCATGTGAGAAGGCTCATCTGGCACCAGCTGTGCTTCCTAGACATCCGCACGTGTGAGGCACAGGGCCCGCGGCCCGCCATCCGCCGAGAAGACTACGACACCAAGCTTCCGCTCAACTGCGAGGAGGACGAGCTCTACGCCACAGGCCCGCCTCCGGAGCCGGCAGAACGGTGGACCTCCACTCTGTTCTCCCTCATCCGGTTCGAGAGCAACGAGATGATGCGCATCATCTGGCTGGACCGTCGCAGGCTCGAGAGTCGGCGGACGACTCTGACTGCCGTTCTCACAAAAATAGAGAACTTTCGCAAGCGCATGCTGGACAAGTACGAGAAATACCTCGACGGCGACGTGCCTGTGCAACGGTACGCAAAGCTCGTGATGAACCTGCTCCTGTACCGTCTCTACGCCATGGTCCTGCACCCTTACCACGCCAACGCCAACAGTCCCATGCCGCATCGCCTCAACAACATCCTCATCATGTCGGGTATCATGATTATCGAAATATCCATACAGCTCGAGACTGCACCCCCGTACCAGGATTGGGCCTGGTACCTGGGTGCTTACCAGCAGTTCCAGATCGCTTTGCTCCTGGCCACTGAAGTATACTACAGGCCCCAAAGTCGAGAAGCCCCCCGCATCTGGAACTGTCTGGACTACGTTTTCCAGACGGACCGTACTCTGCCGCCCGAGATCAAGGGTTTGCAAATCTTGGGCGAGATCATGAGCAAGACCTCCATCTACCAGGGCATGCGCAAGATGCGCGCGCCCACAGGAACATCACGCGCCGCCCCGAACAAGAATGCTGTGGGCGTCAAGAGCCCCACGATGCAACCCTCCCCTCAACAGTACCAGCAGAATGTGCCGATGGGTCTCAAGTCAGAAACCGGCATGGCAGCCGGCTTGCAACCGCCTACTCCCGTCAGCGGCGTCGGATCTCCGGGGATGGGGTCTCCGGGCGGTCCAGGAGGCCCTCCCGGAGGCCAAATGGGTGGTCCTCCACCCAACATTGTCTTTGCGGGTGTCTCCAACGGCGAGGCGCTGTGGAGTGTGCAGCCGGTCACTGCGGACAGCCCGGAAAGCAGCTGCGACGGCGCAAGCGTTGCCGGACACAGGACGACGCAGGCTCCTATGAACATGGTGAACTCGCTCGAAGGCGTGGACTGGGTATGTCTTTTTTTCTTCTGTCTTTGCAGTGTCACGAAGCTAACTCATGGTGCAGGACATTATCAACAACCTGTTCCCGCATGACCCGAGCACTGGCGAGCTCAACATTTCCGGTTTCCACGACCCGAGTCTGGGCCTGAACGGGTTCCACTGGGGCCAACGACATGCACTCGATCTTCATTGATTAAATTTACGTTGAGCGACGACAAGCAAAAATGTCAGACACCCACCCATCTCTGACATGTTGATTTACACACACATATATAAGTACACATTCAGCACATACGTAATGCGCGGGGTCTGCATGTATTTTACGAAACATAAAAGGACAGTGACGGTTGGGATGCGTTTGCGTGATGCAGTGGTTTACAAAGAGTTTGTCCGAGGTTGCGATAATAGAGAAAAGGATACCGCGCAGGTTTGTAGTAGTCGTGTGTATGACAGAGAGGGTTGCTGGTAGACTCGTAGGCCGTCTGGGGCATTTAATGAAGAAGATCAAGGTCAAATATGCGTCAATGAGTGTCTAAAAGTGATCAAATCCCATCACGGGCAACAAGAGGCACTCGTTCAATGAGCTCATCATTATTCGTTACGGTCTAGAAAGGCCCAATTACAAAAGTAGAAATTACCGCGAAGGAAGCAAGTGACATCGCGCAGTAGGAAAAATCGTCATGACCAAAAAAAAAAAAAAAAAAAAAAAAAAAAAAAAAAAAACCCAAGAGGTATCGTTGTGCAACCATCCCATGAAGCCTCAGGTGTCGTAAGCTTCGTTCTCTTTTTGATAATGTACCAACCCGTTTCCTTCTAATCCTTGGACCTTTCGACCATTTCCCATAATTACACACACACACTCTCCCTTGTGTTTAGTTGGATCGCACGTTCGACGCTTGTTCGGGCAGGAAAGTGCCCATGCTGAGTTCGCTGTGTGTCGCTGCCGCGTTGCCGCCAATCACCGACCCGCCAACCTCGCTGCCGGGCGTGAACAAGCGGACAGACTTGCCCTTGGGCCGAGCCACCAGCACCTGGGCGGGACACACAACGATCTCGTCATCGTTGTTGCCAGCGTCGTCCCCCTTCTTGACGACAAGAGGGAACAGGACGATGCGGACGACGGCGTGTTGGCCTTCGAGAGACTCGTTGTTGAGGGACTTGTCGCCGCTGCGCTCGTTCATGAGGGCGGCGTTGAACGTGACCGTCTCGGCGAGCTCGCCGTCAGCATCGTATTCGGGCTGCAGCGGCGGGAGCATCATGTACTCGGCTCGCTGGGTGCGCATCTCGATGGAGAGGTCGACGGCCTCTCTCATCACGCGGCGCAGCTGTGATTGGATCTGGTCCTCCAGGTTGGACGGGGGAGGGAGGACCTTGGACAGCGTCTGGAAGATGGCCTGGACCACGGCCTCGGTGTCGAGGTCGCGCTGGTGCTTGAAGCTCGGGCGCTTGGAGAGCAGCGTCAGGGTGACGGCGCGCCACTGTCGGACGGCCTGGGGAGGGCCGACCTCGGTGAGGAGCTTCTCCAACGACTTGAGCTTCTGTCGTTGTTCGCGGTCCATGCCAAAGAGGTAACGGGTGAACACAAACTCCCAAATCATGTTCATCGTCATGGACATGAATACGTCTCTGCGTCGCACGCGGTCGGCGAGATAGGCATCCACATCAGTGCCATCGAGGATGGCGTTGTCGAGTCGGTCAATGACCTTCTCATCATTGATTTCATTCGTCAACCGACAAGCGCGCATGTCGGAAAACTTGGAAAACCGGAGGACCCATTGCTGAACGTGGGAGCACAGCTGCTGGCATCGGTGGTCGAAATGGTCGACGTCCTTGACGTTCAAAAAGTCGGCATCGGCGCCCTTGGCGGCCAGAATCTGGCGCTGCATCTGGCGGATCTTGTCCTTGGCAGCGTCGAGCTCGGAGCGCAGCTTGCTGATTTCGGCATCCTTTTGCGACAGCGACTCTTGGAAGCGGCCGTGTTCGTTGCGAACCTCGTCCAGCTGTCGCGACGTGTCTGCATGCTGCGTCTCCAATGAACGGTAGCGTTCGTTGTGTTGGGCAGCAAGCTGGGCATTGGCGCTGTTGAGGCCCTCGTTGACCTCTGTCAAGCGAGCGACCTCTTTTTGTAGGAACTCGAGCGACTGCTTGAGGACGTCGATCTCGGCGTCGCGTTCGGCTAGGATGCCTGAAGCTGAAGCGCGATTGCTGGTGGTGGTGGTGTCCGCGGTGGTTCGGGCATCGGCGAGCATGCGGTTCTCGGCCAGGAGCTGTTCGACGCGAGACTCGAGCTCGAGGACTTGCATGCTCTGACGGCGACGCATGCTGTGTGGTCTAGTGGGCGAGCGGGGGGAGCCGATGCGGCCCTCGCCAAAGCCATCCTACGGAGGCCGGGTCAGTGGAAAGTCGGTGAGGATTGAGCAAGGCTGCACAGGCCAAAACTCAATTGGAACCAGCCGGTCGGGGAGGCAAGACACGAGAATAAAACAAACGCAGGGATGGCTTGTGCGGGAAAGGAAATGTCCAAGATGGGATGAACTTACAAAGACGTCGGCCATGTCCTTGGTCCGGACACGACCCTCGTTGGCGACGGGGGTGTTTGACGAGCTGGTCGGGTCCTGGGTGAGGTCTTGCTGACTTCGTTGGCTGAGAGATCGCAGGTCTCCGCTCATGCGCCTGTCTGTCCGGCGGCGGAGAGGAGGGGTGGCAGTGGCTGGGCGAGAGATGATGCCTGGGCTTTCAGGCCGGAACTTGAGTGGCTCCGGTGTTTGTGAGCCCAAGGCCCGCCTGTGCCGCGAGAGGCTGCTATTGGATATGGATCTGCGCGCTACAGGGGGCTCGACCGGCGCGGGCGATTGCAGCCGTGCAACACGCTCCGAGACGCTGCGATTGCCGGGCGGGGGCGTGCTGCGCGGTGACGACGTGCTGCTGATCGCAGCCCCGGCCAGCGCCGCAGAGGCCAGGTCTTGGTACTTGGATCGCTTCCTCTCCAGCTCTGGGCTGATGCGCCGCATCTTGTGCGGCTCCGGAGTTGGGGTATCGAGTTGCCGGCTGCCAGGGTCGCGCAGAACAGGCGTCTTGGACATCGGATAGTCGCGAGTCTCGTCCTCGGCGAAAGGCGATCGTCGGATAAGGTCTCTGACCGATGGCGATTTTGCCCTCTCTGCTTCACGAGATCTCCTTCTCTCACGGTGACTGGACAGCTCGGGCGTGCGCTGAGCCTCGCGCCCTTGCGAACTTGTCTCTTGCCAGTCGCGCATGACACCGCTGTCCCGCTCGACTTGGCTGTCGAGACCACTCTTGCGGAAAGGGTGAGACGAGCCTGAGCTCAGCGCGCTGTCACGATGGGGCTCTGGTGTGCGTAGTGCCCTCCGAGATGATGTTTTGGGGAGAGATCTGGGCTGAGGTTCAGCTTCTTCGTGAGCCTCCTCCTGGACTGGCGGCAGGATGCTTGGGACCGGGCTTCGGAAACCTCCTGTCTCGTGGAATGGCTCGGGGCTTCGGGATGAGAGGACGCTGGAGAGATCGCGGCGAGACTCGGCCTCGAAGCCGCGATCAACGGCCTCGTCCAGATCACTAGTCATCGTGCTTGGCTCTGGATCCAGCGATTGGCGAGTGTCCCTTTCAGTAGCAGATGGGATCTCTTCAGGCTTTTCCTCTCGCCCCAGTACAGGGCTTTCGACATTGTCGTCTAGGGCCTTTTCCTTCAGAGGCGCTGTCAGACTAGGCATGCCTTTTGAATATTCCTCCTTCTCCTTCGGTGACGGCAATTTGCCAGATTCGACTGGGTTCTGTCGAATGGGCGGGCCATCTCTTTGCTTCGTGTCTGGAGCAAAAACATCATCCTCCTCCATCGCCGTGTCTTGTCTTTTGTAATGCTCCTCATCCTTCGTAGTATCCGGCTCGGCTGGCGCCCCTTGAGCAGACGCACTCTGCGGCTCTTCACCGCCCCAGAACTTCTCAACCTCTGCGTTTGCAGCCTCACTAACGTGCTTCTTGTCGGCGTCTTCCCACAGCGATTGATCGTCAAACAAGTCGTCCTCCTGCGAGCTGCGTTTGTCTGCGTATTTGGACTTCTTTCCCTTCTTCTTGGCGCTGCTAGACTTGGCGAGGGTTGCTGCTGCCGCCGCAATCGCCGCCGCGCCAGCCGCGACACCAAGCTTCGATGAGCCGTTATCTTGGTGTTGCTTTTCGGGGTTCGTGGCCCGGGTAGTCTCAATGGGGTCGTGATCAGTCTTGTGCTCGAGGTATGAAGCGGCAATATCGAGAGCAGATGGAGTCCCTGAAGGGTGTTCAGGAACCTGCTTGTCTACATTTGGTTCCGGGGGGCCTTGGTGTTCAGAGGCGTCCGGCGCTGATGTAGCATGATGTTCAGGAACGTCCCTGTCTACGTTTGGCTCCGAAGGGCCCTGGTGTTCAGGGGCGTCCGGCGCGGATGTCGGAAGCAACGAAACATCTGCAATCGTGCCAACTTGCTCGGCAGCGTTGTCTTCCTGGCTGCCGTGATCCTCAAGGTCCACAGCTGCGATATCGCGGGAGCTAAAGATTGGTTCCGGCAACAGTGTGTTGGACTGCTCCCTGGTCTTCAGTTTCTTCCGCTTGTCGGGCTGTTCGTAGGGCACTTCGTGCACGACTCTGCTTGTCTCCTGTGCCGGCGTCAAGTCAACATCCGCGGACGTGGATGATTTGGGAGAAGGCGTTGTAGCATCGACTGGCCGAGGGGTGTCCGCTGGGGTCAGCAGAGTACTTGCTGTCTCGGGAGGAGGCGGCGCGGACGCACTCCTATTCTCCTCGAGGGGTTCCTTGTCAAAGTATCCCACGTTGTCGGCACCCTCCAGCGCAAGGCTTTGGTCGGCGTTTGGCGCAGGCGTTGGGTCAATGTTTTGTGGAGATTCTAATTCAACCGGAATCGACTGTTTCTTGCCTTTCTTTCCCTTTTTCGACTTCTTGGTCACTGGAACGTCCCATGCGCCGAGGTCGACCACGTCCAGAGACGAACGTGTGGCTTCTGGGAGGTCCATACTTCTCGAAGTGCTCAAGGCTGCCGTCGGCGAGGCGGGACGCGAACCAACGACGTCGGCATTGACGTCTTGTCGATGACTTGCACTTGAGTGGGCTCGGTCTTTCGCTGCGGGGCTTTGGGGTTTGCTGTTGTCATGTCTGCTCTCCCGGTCGTCGTCTTCCTGCGCAACACTCTCGGTCGGTCGCTCGGAGAGTATTGAGCGTTCCGCAAAATCAGGAGATCGAGACCGTATTGAAAGCATCGAGCGCTCCGCATAGTTGGGAGATCGAGATCGTCCAGAGATATTGGAATGCTCCGTGTAATTAGGGGATCGAGATCGTCGAGACCGTCGAGAAAGAAGCGAGTGCTCCGTGTAGTTAGGAGATCGAGACCGCCTAGTGAGAAATGAGCCCTCTGTATAATTGGGCGATCGAGACCTTCTTGAAAGAAGTGAGTGTTCTGTGTAGTTGCGAGACCGAGACCGTCCAGAAAGAAGCGACCGATCCCCATAGGTAGGGGATCGAGACCGTCTGGTAAGAAATGAGCCGTCCGTATAACCAGGAGAATGAGATCTTCTTGAACGAGGTGAGCCCTCAGTGTAGTTGGGAGATCGAGATCGCCTGGTAAGGAATGAACCGTCCGTATATCCCGGAGACCGAGACCTTCTTGAACGAGGTGAGCCCTCTGTATAACCAGGAGACCGGGTCCTTCTCGAACGAGGTGACCCCTCCGTATAATTAGGAGATCGAGACTGTCCAGAAAGAACTGACTGCTCGGCATAATTAGGAGTTCGGGACCGCCCAGAAAGAAGCGAGCGCTCTGCAAGATCAGGCGATTCAGACCTTCTCGAAAGAACCGAGTGCTCCTTGAGGTCAGGAGATCGAGACCTGACTGAAAGAATGGATTGCTCCGCAAGAGCTGGTGTCCGGGCCCGCGCCGGTGAAGGGGGGTTGGAGATGGCATCCGAGGGTTCGGCGATTGTAGGGGGGTTATTGAAAGAATCGGCAGCGGTGGACGGCTCGCTCTCTGGCTTGAATGACGTGATATCGTCCTCCTGGGGAGTGGCAACTTCGGCATCTTCAAGTACTTGATTCTGCCGCTTCTTCTTTTTCTTGTCTTTTTTGCTCTTCTTTGTCGGAGCACTCGACCACTCGTTTGTCCAAGCTGCCAGAGGGTCGAAAGATGCAGCGTCAGTCGTGGCATCTTGCTGTTTCTCTTCTGCCGGCGCCGTCTCCTGCTTTCCCAGGTTCTTGTCTGCGGGAGAATGGGGACGTTCCATCTCGCGAACCAGGCCCATGTTGGCATCGACGTGAAGGGGTTCGGAGAGGTTTTTCTCATCTGGGAAAACGTCGGGTGCGGCGATGTCCGGGATCTTGGCCTCCTCTATAGTGGAGACGGCCGGCTCTTCTTCCTTAAACTCTTCCACCGCCAGTCCCGCAGGGGTGGCAGCCTCAGACGCCATCAGGTCGTTTTGCGCCTGAGACTTTTTCTTCTTCTTGTCCTTCTTTGACTTCTTGGCAGGCAATGTCTCGGGCCAGTCATTTTCTGGTAGGGCGACGGCGGCTTCCTTGGCCTGTATGGCATCCTCCAGACTGGCAGAGGGCACGTCATTGACGCTTTCAAGCTTTGGCGCTGATGTCGTTGTCGGTTGGTCTACAGTATCCGGGGCAACCGGAACGATCTCTTCCACCGGCTGGGCCGGCTCGGGCAGAGTTTCCGTTACAATGACGGGAGCGTCCGACGTTGACGTAGGCGGTGCCTGCTCGACAGTTGTGGGTGGTTCTACATCGATGGCCATTTCATCCTGAAACTCAGCCTTCTCAACGACTGGCTCGATGGGAGCCGGGATAGAAGCTTCAGCAGGGTTATTGGTAGGCGCTTCAGCCGCTGGCGAGTTTGCTGCTGCTGGGAGATCGTCGGATGCGCCGTCGGCAACAGGCAGCGACCTCGAGGTTTCTTGTTCAACAGCGGCATCGTCCATGGACAACCCCTTCGTCTTTTTCTTGTCCTTCTTTGACTTCTTGGGCGTCAAGGGAACCTCTTGTTCAGGCTGGGGAGCCGTGGACTCCTGGGTGTGGACGACATCCGTCTCGGCCGATTGCGAAGGCATCACATCCATGGAGTCCTCGGCTGGTAATGTCGCGGGAGCTGTGAGGCCTGTCGCGTTAGAAGCAGGAACAGCGGGGACCTCCTCAGACGGCGGTGTGGACTCGATAAGATCAGCAGATGTCTCCTGAGGCGGCTGCGTGGACTCGAGTGGAGGAGCAGTAATGTCAGCCTGTGCCGCCTCTTGGACGTTGGGAAGAGGTTCCTCGGGAACCTCCACTGTCGGCGTAGCATCAGAAAGAACATTTGAATCATCCTGCAGCTTGGCCTTCTTCTTTTTCTTCTTGTCCTTCTTGGAAAGCTTGGGCGAAGAGGGCTCATCATCTAGTGGGAGAGAAGGTTGGCCCTCCGGGATATCAAATGTGTCTGCCTCGTCACTGCGCGCTTTATCTGCCTCGAGGGCAACGTCTTCCTTGAGCGTGTCCGCGTCAGGAAGCGGAACATCTTGGGCCTCGGTGGCAGGCTCTTGGACATCATTCAGGTCGGCCGGCGTGTCCGTTGGTGGCTCCTGGGAGATGTCTTCCGCCGAGGGAACATTGTCCGAAGGAATGTCAAGAGAGCGCTCATTGACAGGGTTGACGGCAGACTCGGCAGCAGGCTCGGGTGAGGGTTGCGGCTCGATCATCTCAAGAGCCTGTCCCTTCTTCTTCTTCTTGGCCTTCTTGTCTGGCAGCGGGAACTCATCCTCGGCAACCACTGGCTGGCTTGTCTCAATGATTTCGGGTTCCTGAATCGGCGTCTTCTCCTCCTCCAAAATCGGAACCTCTTCGGCTGGCTCCACAGCGGCACTCGCAGGCTCGGGCTCGGCGGCCACTGTTTCCTCCCGAAGAGACTGCTCAACCGGAGGCTCAGCCTCAAGTGATGGCTCCACCTGAGCCTCCTGGGCCTTCTTGCTCTTCTTCTTATCCTTCTTCGACTTCTTCTCCGGGACAGGGAACTCATCCTCTGCGTTGACGGTGACCGGCTTCGGCGCCTCGGCTGTCTGCGTGGGATCAAGAACAGTGTCCGCTAGGGCGGTCTCGGCGACGGGGGGAACATCTGCCTTAGACAGCTCTTCCGTTGCGGCAACATCCAGATCCATGGGATCTTCGTGCTGTGAAGGCTCAGCAATCACAGCTGGGGTGGCCTCATCAACAATGGCGTCATGAATAGAGCTCTCTTGTCTGACTGATTCGTCATCAGGCGTGGTGTCCATGGGTTGCTCGCGCGCTACCTCCTCTTGCAGGGGCTGGGGTTCGTCAGTCGTAGTAGTCGCGTCTTCAGTGAAGACATCTGTTGGCTGGGGAGTGCTTTCAGTCTCTGGCATCACCATCTGTTCGGGTTGTCCAATAAGGGCGGCTTCGGGGGCAGGTGGGGTCTCCGTTTCCGTAGGCAGGGGTTGCTCCGCGAGGATGTCAGCGGAAGCACCCTTCTTCTTTTTCTTCTTGTCCTTTTTCGACTTCTTTGGGGAGATGGGTTCCTCCTCCTCCAACGGATGGGCTTCTTCCGCGGGCATAGGCGTGCTGAAGGATGGTGCATCAGGCTCGAGCACCCGAGCTTGTTCAGACGAGTCGACTTGCTCAAAGGCAGGCTCGTCGACGGCGGGAACTTCAGCCGGGGCGGGTTGTGACTCTGGCGCTGGAGTCTGCTGCGGCGGGCTTGGTTGTTCTACGACTGGCTCAGTCGCCGGCGTCACAATCGGCTCATCTGGGGTCTCGAGGCCCTTCTTCTTCTTTTTGTCCTTCTTCGACTTTTTGGTCATGACGGGAAACTCATCTTCTGCCAGAACAGTGGTGTCGGCAATGCTATCCGGAGGCATTGTTTGTGCTTCCTGAGGGACCTCAGCCTCAGCATCCGGCGGCGGTTGAGAGATGGACGCTGGGTTTGGTGCGTCTTCTGGGCGGTCGAGAATGAGGGTGTCTTCCTGGGTCGAGGCCTTTGATGAATCCTCGGGCAAGGCATCGTCAAGGGGTTGGGGGTCCCTGGAGAGTTGGAGATGTTCTGCGTCGGCGGGCAAGGTGTCGACAGGTGGGGCAGGCGCGGGAGTGGATGTGCTTTCCCCATGTCCAGGCTGGTGGTCCTGCCGCGTTGGGTCCTGGAGACTGCCTTGGGCTTCTTCGCCACCAGAGCTCTGCTGCTGCTGCTTCTTCTTCTTGTTCTTTTTGCTCTTCTTTGTCGAACCAGCATCATCAGCTTCTTGAGGTGCTTGCGGTTGCTCGTCCCCAGCGCTTGTATCATGCGGGACATCAGGAACACGGGACACGCCGGGAACATCTTCGGGCACGCCTTCGACAACAGCCTCAGAGGTCTCGAGGGGAACGTCGGAAGTCCCAGCGGTAGTCTGGCGCTCATTTACTGCATCTTCCAGACTTGGAGATCTCTCATCCTCCTGTGCTGGTGGGGACGGGAGCGCTTGCTCAGCAACAATTTCTTCGGGCTTTGAGGAAGACTCTTCGGGCTGCGCTACCACCGCGTCAGCATCCTCAGCTGCCTGAGCTGCGGCGCGCTTCTTCTTCTTGTCCTTTTTGCTTTTCTTGCTGTTAGGTTGGATTGCCCATCCGTCATCACCAGCCCACAGCGCAATGTCCTCTGCGCCGGGAGCGCTGGCAGCGTCCGGGATGGAAGCCGGCTCCGGCTGCGCCGATGACTCAATCGGTGCCGAGGCACCGGGTTCAGCAGCTGAGGGCCTGTCATCCACATCCGGTGCTTGGGTGTCTTCAACATCGTCCGGCTCTCCGGCGGCGGCGGCCTTTGCCTTCTTGGCCTTCTTCTTGTCCTTTTTGGACATGTTGCTTGGGGTTGCGGGCTCGGACCAGACGTCAGCTCCCTCCTCGGGCTGTGTCTCAGTCTCGTCGGGGCTCTGGGTGGTGCTCCCAGCATTCACAATCCCTGTGGGTTCAGGGCCTGGAACGGTCTCCGACAATGAGTCTACTTGCGGCTCCGAGGCGATGAATTCACCAAGTGATTCCGGGGCGGCAGTTTGACCCGGAAGTGCAGCATCGGTGGCGCGGGGAACGGGGTGCTGCTCTTCCTCGGCCTTGTGTTCTCTGGAATCCCCAACGTAGGGAGAGTCGTTGAGATTGAAGTCTTCCGGGCGAGACTCGGCTGATGCAGCGGCGGCGGCGGCGGGATCGATAATCCCCGCGTCAGAATTTTTGGCACGCTCCAACCAACTGGGACTGCTGGGAGTGTGACGGGAACGGGGACGGGGACGGGGACTGGGTACCTCGTCCAAAGGCGAGGTGCTGCTGGAGGCGGCGTGGGAGGGCAAAGGTTGGGGGATCTTCGGGTTAGAGTCTTGGTTGGCCAAGGGTTGGACCGGGGTGTTTTGTGGGCCACCAGCCTCCAGGGCCGAGTCGGTGAGGGCCGGTCCCACGGGTTCTGCATCCGTCATCCGCCCGTTTTGCGTGTCGACCAGTGATTTGTCGTGCCCTGGCCCACTGTCCGGCTCCACAATGGCATGCAGGCCGGGGTCGCTGGTGCCAACCTCTCCCGTTTGGGCGTCTGCTGTCGCAGATGGTTTGCCAATGGCACCAGAACGGCCCGCCTGTTCAGCATGTTCGGCGTCCGATGTTGCATCAGCCTCGCTGCTTGCCACCTGCTCCGCTTGCTCATCGCCCTCCAGTGTCTCACCGCCCTTCCGGTTGGCCGCACCACTGCTGGACGAGCCAGTTGCGGGCAGCATTCTGTGGGCGGAGGGGAAGTAGGCCTGCTGGGCGGTGGGAATTGAAGCGTCGCTCCTCGTGGCTCCCCGCGTTGTTGCGTGCAGCCCAGAGGATGACGGGAAGTAGTCGATGGGGTCAGCAGCAGCAATGTCGTGCGCGTGTTCGTGCTCGTGCTGTTGGGGCAGCGCCTGGGTGGTCTCGCTTGCAGGGTGCCTTTGAGCTTGGCTTTCTGGGTCGAGATCCTTCTGCGCCACACCTTCGCTTGTCTCGTCGACAGCCATCGTGTCCGAACCCTGCATCTCCTCACCAATTGCCCGAGGAGGGCTCTCTGCCTCCGATCGATCCTCAGGTTCGCTTGGCTCCGTCGTTTGTAGCTCTCCGGTGGCTGGGGGCGGGGCCGTCGCCGCCTCAGGTTGCCATTCCGAGCCGTGGCCGGCTTCCTGAAGAGGAAGATCGGAATTGTTCGCGGCGGATCCCAGTTCAGGTGCCCACGTCACGGATTTTCGTCTTTGCTCGCCCGTAATTGCAGCAGGTTCGGCCTCGGTCGAGCTTTCTGCTGGCGGGAAACGAGCTTCGTCACTGACAGGCTCTCTCGGCGGAGAGGAAACATAAGCGGACTTGTCCATTGTATTCGCTACATCTGCCGTGCTTTCGGGGATACTTGTGGACGGGCTGTTCTCAGGCTCCGGGTCCAAGGTTGATGACTTCTTGCCCTTCTTCTTTTTCTTTCCCTTTTTGGTAACAGCTGGCCCTGCGTCCGCCTCCTCTGAAATCTTGACGTCCGTAGCGAATTCTCCGCTTGTCGGGAGCTCAGGCGGCGGTGATTCCGTGTCTCCCGTCTTGTCTTGTGTGATGCTCGTGCCCTTGTCCGTGATTGTCTCGTCCTTTGCCTCCTTCTGGTCCTTCTGGTCTCCAGGAGTGTCCTCGATGGCTGCTTGTAGGGCTGCAGCCGCGGCGGCTGCCGCTGCTGCTGCCGCTGCCTTCTTCTTTTTCCTGCTCTTCTTGGACTCGACTGGCGAGTCGGGTTCGACTGGCGTCTCAACATCGCGGGGTTGCTCCTTCTCAATGAACGGCTCTTGCGGCTTAGTATCGACCGCGTCAATTTGGCTGTCGAGAAGGGTGGGCTCTTGCGAAAGGCTTCCAGGCGCGTCATCTTCGGTTTCGATGGTGATGGGGCGTTGCGGCGGCGTTGCAAAAGCCTCATCGTTGCTTTCGGCGTTTGTAGGCTCTTGAGATTCGCGAATAGCCGTCTCCGGTTCGTCTGGTTCCTTTGTCGCCGTCTCTTCGGCCATGGGGGCTTGCTCGGGTTTGGCTGCAGGCTCCACGGGCTCATCTTGAGGGATGATAGTAGTAGCGTCGGATTCTGAGACCTCGTTCTTGCGAGATGGTGAAGGCTCTTCTGACAGGGGAGATACATTGTCAGCCTGGCCGACTGACTCTGTCAACGTGCTGCTTGGTAGCTCTTGAGTCTCTGCGGTGACGGCCAGATGCTCTTTTGCAGCATCCAGGTCATTGCCCTGAGCTTCGTCGGATCCCTTCTCGATCGAAGAGACCGTATCCGGGGCTGGCTCTTCTATGAAATCTGGCGCCTTTTCCTCGGGGGCACCAGCCATGGCCGGAGTCTCAACAGCAGCCGGAGTCTCAATGCTTTGAGTCTCGACGGCAGCTGGAGTCTCAACAACAAGGTTGGTCTCCTCGGTGGAGAATTCGATATCAGCAGGAATCTCGACAGGAGCGTTGTCGACGACAGCCGGAATCTCAACAGTAGTCTCGCCTGTAGGAGTCTCAACAATAGGAGTCTCAACTACGGGGTTCTCGATCACAGGAGTCTCAACGACTGTAGTCTCACCAAATGGAGTGTTGGAAGCAGGGGGTTCAACAGGAGGGTCCTCAGCAGGGGCTGGAGTCATCTGGGAAGCCGTGTCTACTTCGTCGAAAGCAACAGCAGTGTCACCCCTAGGAGTCTCAACGATTGGAGTCTCGACTACAGAGTTATCAACCACAGGAGCCTCGACATCACGAGTCTCGACAGCTGGAGTCTCAACGATAGTCTCACCGGTAGGAGTCTCAACGATAGGAGTCTCGACTACAGGATTATCGACTAAAGGAGTCTCAACAGCTGGAGTCTCTGTTAACGGAGTCTCAGCAGCTTGAGGAACGACAGGAGGAGTCTCCATCGTTGGGGTCTGAACAGGTGTGATTTCCATAGACAGGATGTCGTCCAACTGGGACAGGGAGGGTCCCTTGCTCTTCTTCTTCTTTTTCTTCTTCTTCTTTTCCGATTGCTCAGGCTGAGCAGATTCGGCGGACGGTATTTGCGTGCTCGCTGGCCCAGGCTCGGAAAGCTCGGGAAGCTCAGCTGCGCTATGGGTCGTGGAAGGGACATTGTCAATAGGCTCAGAAGTAGAGAGGGGATCCTCTTTGGGGCCAGATTCCGCCGCGGGAACTTTAGCGGTCTCTGCCTCGCTGGTTGTGGGCTGCGATCCTTTGGGGAACCTGTCCTCGAGTGTGCCGGGGTAGACATTGTCTGAAGTAGCTTCCATGGGGCTGGTGGGCGTAGCCTCCAGATCCAATCCACGTGATTCTGAAGAAGGCAATTCAGGGTTCTCGGCAAGGTCCGCATAGACGTCTGCAACAGGAGTTTCCTGTTCAAAGACAGGTTTGGCCTCAACGTGTTCATTTTCAGCCGCCAAAGATAGGTTCTGGTCCTTGAAAGGGGGGGTGGGCGATGTCTCTGCCGGCTCTGCGATCTCACGGACGGCACTCGTCGGTTCCTGCGCAGGCTGGACATCGTCCGCAGGCAGAGTCGGCGGCAGTGGCAAGTCGTCCTCCGTGTTGCCGGGCTTTGCCTCGTCTTCACCGGGGGCCGTTTGTGGTTGAGCCGAATCGTCGTCCAAGCTGGCCGACTTCTCTTCCAAGCCAGAAATTGGAACTTGTGGCCCCAAGGAAGGCTGACCATCAGCAGGCGCGTCTTGCAATGTGGGAACGTCCTCGCTACGACCAGACAAAGTGTTCTCGAGAGTCGCAGGCTTCTCTTCCGCTTCAACGGTAGGCTTAGACTCCAATATACGCTCGTCGATGCTGGCTGTCTTCTCCACGTCCTCTTCAAATGGAGCCGACGAGTCTGCCACATCATCTCCCCGTGCCAACTGGTTGTCATCTTGTTCCAAGATAGGAATGTGCTGAAGTTGAGACTCCGCGTCGGGCAACGGGGCAATTGGTGCTATGGACTCGAATGTGGAGGGGCTCTCATCCAGCTTGGCCGACACTTCCTGCTCCGGGAATGGCGTCACTGGCTCGGAGGCAACGGGGTTGGTTTCACTGGCCTCAGACGTTGACTTGACTTCACCATCCAGATCGGGTGCCTTCTTTGCCTTCTTCTTCTTTTTCTTGCTCTTCTGTGTCTCGGGAGATGAAGGCTCGGTGACTGAAGGCGCAACAGGCTGCTCGGCTTCATTGACGTCCTTGCCCTCGCCGGAAGTCGGCGCTGAGGATGAACCGTCTGTGCCGGGCAAGAGAGCCGGTTCGTCGGTCTGTGGCACAGAAGCGGGAACGGTGGTTTCGGTTTTGGGAAGCCAAGTCGCGGCTTGTGGCTCAGGCAGCTGGGGTGCTTGCTCAGTCTCAAGGGCTGGACCACCAGTATCAGCGTCAGCCACAGCAGCTTCCACCTCAACCACAGAGTCATGTGCTTCAGTCTCAGGCGTGGGAAGCGTGTCGTCGGCAAGGGAGGATGTGCAGTTGTCCTCTGGCAATTGATCTGGCACTGGTTCCGTGGCAGACTCGATCTGGTCGCGTTCCTCGTCAGGCTTCGCAGAATGTTCAAGCTCCAACGCCCGAGCCTGAGCCTTTTTGAGTTTCTTCTTGTCTTTCTTGGACAGCTTCTTTTCGGCGGGAACGTCTGCTGTAGAAGGCTCAACAGGGGCAGTCTCCAAGGCCTCAGCATCAACGGGCGCCTTGCTCTCAACAGTGGACATCTCAGGCTGAGTTTCCCCAGGAGTGTCTTCACCGCGCACATTGTCGTTGGCGCTTGATATTAGGCTCTCGATTCCACGGACGACGTCATCGGAAGGAGTCTCACGCTGGATGGACTCAACCGGTGGGGGCAAACCATCTCTTGGGGCGATTGAGACAGGCGTATCGTCGTTGGACAAGACATTGCTGCTGGCAGGCGGATCAAGGTTGGGGTGAGTCGATGAGGGGAGATCTTCTTCATGTGGCTTAGATGAAGGGGATATGGGCATGGAGACCTCATCGGGAGGGGCCACAACCGATGGAGCCTCCGTTGAAAGCGCCTCTTCACGTGCGGGAACCTCAGCAGCGCGCGTTTCCGAAGTGGGAGCGGCTTCGCTCGGGATGGCCTCTGTCGAGGGAGCTTCAGCTGGGGCCTCGGTGCCAACCTCACCAGAAGGAGGTGCAGACTCTTCTGCGGGCATCTCGCGAGGAGCATCGATTGACTGCCGTCGGTCCTTGTCAATCGGGCTGACAGGAGCATTGTCATTCGACGGCAAGGCGGCATTCTCGGCTGGTGGCTCGTTAGAAGTGGCGGCCTCCGTCGGGGCAGCGTTCTCGTCCATAGACAGCGCCTTACTCTTTCTCTTCTTCTTTTTAGCCTTTTTGGACAGTTTCGTTCCAGCAAGTGGCCCTGCCGGTTCGAACATTCCAAAGTTTTCCAAGCTCTGGGTGTCGGGGTCGGACTGCTTTTTGCCCTCGGCCTGGTCGCCATGGCCGAGAATAGTCGTAGCAAGCCCGGCTGCCGCACCGCCTGCAACGGCGCCAAGAGCGACGTCATGCGCATCGGAGAGACTCTCCTCTTCAACTTTAGCTGTCGCTTCGGATCTATCCAAAGACCTGGTGGGCGTGGGGCTCGGCGGTGTGTCTGGAAGGTCACGCTCCATTAGATTCTTGACGATAGACGGGGGCGTCATGTGCAGGAGATACGAACTTCTGTCCTTGGAGGTGACCTCAACTGGCTCTGGCTCTGGCTCTGGAAGTGTCCCGACCGCCGGTAACGTCTCAGGGCTGGTCGGCAGAGCAGGCAAATCTTCTAGCTGGTGATCAGAGGCATACAGCTGGTGAGATGCGTCCGGGAGATGAGGAAGCGCGGGCGATTCGAGCGCAAGTGCAGGGCCTCTTGAATGATCCTCAGGTTCTGCCACAGGGCTAGGAGGCAGAGCAGGTAGGTCTTTCATGGGCTGCTCTGGAAAGTAGAAGTCGGCTTGTGGGGGAAGGGCGGGGGATTCTGGGGCGAAGGTGATCCTTGGGGCATTCGTCCCTTCACGATCCATTACAATAGGCTCCGTTGTAGGACTGCTGGGTAGAGCAGGTAGCTCCTCCAAAGACTGCTCTGGGAAGTGGAAACCCACAGCTTGGACTGAAGGGAGAGCAGGCGATTCAGGTGCGAAAACAACCTTAGGAGGGGCAGGCTCCTCACGCTCCATCACAAGGGGCTCCGCTACAGGGCTTCCGGGAAGGGAAGGTAAATCGTCCAGCTGCTGCTCCTGAAAGTAGATAGCCGTGTCTGGGACGGAGGGAAGAGCCGGCGATTCAGGTGCGTAGACGACCCTTGGAGGGGCGATCTCCTCACGGTCCGTAACAAAAGGCTCCATTGAAGGACTTCCAGGGAGGGCAGGCAACTCTCCTAACTGCTGCTCAGGGAAGTAAAAACCTGCGCCTGAAACCGCGGGAAGAGCGGGCGATTCAGGTGCAAACGTGAATTTCTTCGACACGTCCTCGGCCACAGGGCTACCAGGAAGAGAAGGCAAATCCTCTAGCTGCTGCTCTGGGGAGTATAGGTTCGCGCCAGGAAATGAGGGGAGAGCCGGGGATTCGGGTGCATAGATATGTCTGACGGCCTCGTGCTCTGCCACAGGGCTGGCGGGAAGGGAAGGCAACTCTACCACATTGTAAGCTGGTGTGTCGAAATGCCTAAATGTCTCTGGAATCGTGGGGAGAGAAGGGGACTCTGGAGCATAGGTGATTGTTGCTGGAGGGTCCTGCTGCTCTAAAACAGGGCTGAGAGGAAGAGCAGGCAGGTCTGTCTCGAGCTGCTCTGGCAAGGGGAAGCCTGTGCCTGGCCACGTGGGAAGGGATGGAGACTCCGGCGCGTAGCTGATGGTAGGAGCAGGTTCATGATGCTCTAGTATAGGGCTGCCAGGCAGAGCAGGCAACTGGTCTACTGAGTCGACCGGGAAGATGACATCTCTAAACTTGTCTGGGGACGCTGGCAGAGCTGGAGACTCGGGTGCAAACTTAGGGCCAATATCGCGGTCCCGGTGTTCCAGGACCGGACTGGCGGGAAGGCTGGGCAGCTCTGCAAGATCGTACTCGGGAATGTCTAGCCGTGCAGCATCTACAACCGAGGGAAGCGCGGGCGACTCGGGTGCGAAGCTGACGCCCTTTGCGATTGGCTGATAATCTGCTACAGGGCTGCTGGGGAGGGCAGGCAATTCATCGAGGTAATGTGCTGGGAGACCAAAACCTTCGGCGTTGTCTGGGATAGGAAGCGCAGGAGATTCGGGGGCAAAGCGGACGCTCTTGGGCGAAGCTCGAGGCTCTACCTTGGGGCTGGCAGGTAGAACAGGCAAAGCCTCAAAGTAATGGTCTGGGAGATCGATTCGATGGGTCTCTGTGACGGGCGGAAGAGCAGGAGATTCAGGGAGGAATTTGGAGACAGTATGCGGCGCTTCGTACGCGTCCTCAGCCAATGGACTTGTGGAAAGAGCAGGGAAATCTTCCGCGTCGTGGAACTGCATAACAGGAGAAGGCGCCTGATCTGTCACAGGACTAGCGGGAAGAGATGGCAGGTCCATCGGCTCGAAAGATTCCAGTTGCCTGGCTGCATCAGGCATGGCGGGAAGTGCGGGCGATTCAGGGAGGAAAACAGGGCCTCTGGGCTTCTCTGCCAACCCAGGCTGAGACTCTGGATCGTCAAATAGAGGAGGTAGATCTGCTATTGCGCGCTCCAAAGACGGCTCGGCAGGCACTGCAGCTTCATGCTCAGTTACCGTACTTGCTGGGCTGGCAGGGAGAACAGGTAGCGCAGCCAGGTCACGCCCCGACAGCTCCAGTTGTCTGTTTAGGTCTGGAACGACAGGTAGAGCAGGGGACTCAGGGCGGTACATGGCACGAGTATGGTGCAGTGCTTGCGGCGTTGTCTCCTGCGAGCTGAACTGGTCTCGTGCAGCCGGAGAGCGGAACACATCCGTGTTGACACGGCGCTCATCAGGCTCGAAAGGTGAGGCCTGAAGCTGGCGGAAGTACTCCACGTCGTTCTCGCGGAGAGCAAACTGCGGTGCAGGGAACTCTCGGGACGAGGGCTCGCTGGGTGGCAGCCCCGGAAAGTCTACGTGTGGCTCCGTAGACTGAGCGGCGTGCTCCTGGCGAGCCTGCTCGAGCAGGTAGAGCGGTTTAATTTCCTTGCTGCTCTCCCACGAGAATGGTCTGATGGAAGGACGCCGGGACAGGGCGTTCTCCGGGGCCGTTGGAGCCGTCGGAGAAGTCATGGGAGAGATTGCGTGTCCCAGATTACCTGGAGATGATGGGCTGGACCTTTGTCCGAGCCGCAGCTTGAAGGGCACCGCAGTTTGGCTTGGGCTCTTGTGCGGGGTGTCCAAGTTGCTGCGGCGCCGGACATGCGTCTTCATCTCGTGCTGTCGTCTCCGCTCCTCTGGAGGCGTTTCTGGCCGGCTGTCAGGCAGGGCAGGGAGGTCGCCGAGCTCTTCCGTTGGAGAACCAGGAGTGCTCGGCGGCATAGGACTAGGCGGGAGGGGAAGGAGGTCGCCATATTGCGGGTCGATGGCTGGCCTGATTGTCCGCTGTGTGATTTCGGGGTCGAGAATGTCCACGTCTGAGGAAGTACTGGCGGTCCTTTCCAAAGAACGAGAATGTTCAGACTCTTCCGGTTGAGGTTCGGTGGCGTTGGAGCGGGACATCATGGAGCCCAAAGCTGCCACGGCGCTCGCCAAGCCGGCACCCGCGCCAAGGGTGCCGGCATTATCTAAAAAAGACTTCTCCTCCTTTACAGATGTGTCCTTGTTTCCGCTTCCCGGTCTAAACAGGCTAAAGAACCCGCTGCTGCCGCGCTTCTCTTCTTCCTTGGTGCTCTTTTTGTCATCGTCCTTGACACTCTTCTTGTCGTCGCGGCTACGTCTCTTACGGCCGGACCCGTCCGATGCCACAGACTTGGCGTCGTCTTCTTCGTAACGGCTGCCGTTGGAGCGGCGATCTGACTTGCTGCGCCGCGGTGTCGAATCGGACACGACAGAGCCTGTGTCTTGGTCGTCGATCCTAGATCGATCTCGCCGCGATTTGGCAGGACGATCGTCCCAGTCGTCCACAGGCTTGGTGGGCGAGCTTCTCCCGCCGGCAGAGACGTCCTCAATCTGCTTCTCGACGTCGGTCCACTCGTCAGAGCTCTGCTTGGACTTTTTGGACTTTTTCTTCTTCTTCACTGGCGAGTCCAACGGGTCATCGTCCTTCTCGCGAGGTTCTGTCGGAGCAGTGTCGTTGTGCTCGGGCAGCTCCTCGCGATAGCTGCGCGGCTCCTCAACAATGATCTCCTGCGGCTCTTTCCCATCCTCCTGTACCACAACAATGTCTGATCTGGAAGACCGTTTCTTCTTCTTTTCTTTCTTGCTCAACTTCGTTGGGGCTGCGGCGTCGTCATCTGCTTTGGGTGTCCCAGATGACGCCGGCGCCTGGGAAGATGGCTCATCGCGGGAGCGTACGTAAGAGCTTGGCACCTCAGAAGGCTGAGAGTAGAGAGAAGAAGACTCGTCAAAGGATCTTGTGTCTTGGATAGAAGGCAGTTCGTCAAAAGAGGTGCCAGCGTAAGGAGAATCATCCAGGGATCGGGTGGTCGGGGGGGATCTTCGCTCTTCAGACTGGCGCCGAGAAGTTGACTCGTCAGCAGAACGGCGGTAGTCATACGTTGGCACTTCATCGGAGCGGCGGGACTGGTAAGTTGGCTCGTCAACATAACGGCGGGAATCGTATGTTGGCTCTTCAACAGGACGGTCCCGGTGGGAAAACGACGGCGAATTCCAAAGGGGGTCGTCAAGAGGGTCGCGAACTTTGGGACCGACCGACACAACGGTTGATACAACGGTTGAGGGGCTCTGAGACCTGTCGTCGTTCCAATCGTGCTCGGGCGCCGTTTGTGAGAAAGGATCCAGCGGTGTTACCGCCTCTGTTGTCTCCTCCGGCGCGCTCTCGACGCTCTGTCTCTTGGCGGCCTTCTGCTTGCGCTTCTCTTTCTTGCTGAGCTTCCTACCAGGCTCAGATTCGTCGCCAGCAGGCTCTTCATGCAAGGCTTCGGTCTCCTTGGATTTTCCCTTATCACGATACTTTCTAGGGAGAGTGTCGAAAGCAGCATGGCCGTTTTTCAGATCCTTCTCCACGGGGGTGTCGTGAACCTCGCTAATGACGTGGCCTGGCTCGCGGGTGGCTGTGGGCTGCCCGATATTCTCAGGACCGTAGATTCCCAGGTCATTTACCGTCTCTACGTAAGGTTGCTGGTAGATTGGCTCATTCTGGCCCGGCGGACTATCACGCCGCATGTAGGTAGGGTTGTCAATGACAATGTTGGGGTCAAATCCAGTGTCTTGCAAGCCAGCAGCGAGGACGGACGCGAACTCCAAATCATCCGCAAACGCCCCGGGCATCTGAGAGGTTTGTGGACTGGACGGCTTCGGGCCTGGCGCAGGAGGCAAGTCATCCTCAAACGAGGTGGTGACCTTGGGATGGATGGGGGAAACGGCAGGCTCCGAGGAAGGCTCGACGGCTCGGAACTTGGGAGACTGCGGTGGGCTGTGTCTCTCCCTGTCTTCCGTCGTCTTGTTCTCCTCGAAAGGATCGTGAACCTCGGAGGTAGCTGCCGCTGCAGCGCCCGCTCCGCCGATGGCTGCGGCGATTACGCCCCACGGGGTGCTCTTACCGAAGCGCTTCTTCGACTTCTTGGGAGAAGTGGATGAGGGCACGCTCTTCGGAGGCTCGGGGCTCTCAATCTCAAAACTCTTGGTCTCATTCTCGCCCCAGGTCACCGACTTGGCCGTGGGTGTCGTTGGTCTCTCGACAACCTTTTGTTTTGGTTCAGGAACGACTTCAGGGGCGATATCCGCGGGAGTTGCAGTCACCTCTACGGATCTAGGCTTTGGCTCTTCACGTGTGCTCTTCTTCGGCTTTTCCTCTTGTCTCGCTTCACGGTTCGCCTCCTTCTGCTGCTCAGGGGCAGGTGTGGCGCGGGGGGTGATATTAGGTGTAGGGAGGACGAGATTCAATAGAGGCCGCTCGCGCTCACAAGAGGGGTCGCGAGACCGGAAGATATGCGTGGACCCAGGACCAAGCTGGCCTTCCGGTAGACGGAAACGGGCGAGCTCGTCTGGTATTATGACGTGGTCGATACGAACATCCGCGTTTGGCGCGTCGTAGGGGCTTTTGTCGTGAGGATGGTCCATCTCCGGGGGTGTCACGATGGTGACCACTTCAGGTCGCTTGTCGTCATCGTACTTGCCTACAACGGACCCGTCATGAGGCGAGGAGCTGCGAGAGCGAATTTCGTCCTCGGCAATCTTGCGAGCAAGGACGGTCTCCCGGTAATGCCTGTCGGCCTCTTCCTGGACGGCGTCTCTCGCAGCCTGGGAGCTGGTACGCGAGCCATCCTCGGTGACATGTTCACTACGATGTTTTCGCGATCTCTGTTCCTCTACGGCAATTGCAGAAGCAAGAGCGGCCGCGGCTACGGGCGCAGTGGCATGCTTGACCTCGTCGTAAATTGCCTTGGCGGCGTGCTTCTCCTCTTCGAACGAGTCTCTGCGACGGCGGGGTTCCGGCGTTCTCGAGCGGTCTCTGAAGCCTTGCTGGTACTGCTCCAACCTTTGCTCGAGCTCAAAAGAATCCTTGCGGCTCAATCGTGAATCCGAGTAGTCGGGCTTCCTCGGGGGCGAATCGTCGAAATTAGGCTCGCGATCAACAGTCACGACCTGGGGAGTCAGCGGCCTCTTGGGCGTGGCGTTCTTGGGCGTCGCGTATTTCGGTGTTTGGAAAGCGTCGTCAGCGACCTGGAACTGGAAAGGGTCAATAGGGGCTTGTGTAAAGGGGACCTCGGGTTGCTCCACCCCATGATGATCTCGGGGTAAGTCAGTTTGCTTCTCTACCCGCTTCCCATCCCGGCGTTCTTCGACGACTTCCGGCTTACGCTCATCTTTACGTGGCTCCTTGGGTTTCTCTCGGCGCTGTCGATCTTCCTCCGGGTCATACTCTACTCGGATTTCGTCACCTTTCGGCAGCCGGTACACCTCTGGACGGGCATCTGGACGTGCTTCCGGCTTCTTGGTCGGCTCGGGAGGGGCATCGCCGCGGGCGGTACGGTTCTTGTCTCGTTGGTCGATGATCTCGACGGGGCTATGCCTATATGACCGGCGTTCGCTGCGATCGCGGCGTTCACGGTCGTCCATTTCAATTTTGACAGGCTGATCTACCCGCTCGTCTGGTCGACGGCTGTCCCGAGACTCGCGGGCGTGGTCTCGCCTCTCCCAGGCCTCACTCCGGCGCTCGTCGTGACGTTGAACTTGATCGGCAGAGTCCCTACGGTTAGCCATGGCCACGCCAATGGCCGCGGCCGCGGCCCCAGCACCGGCAATGGCTGTCTCGACGGGGATCCTACCAGGGCTCCTGCCCGTGGGCGTCTGGCGCTTGAAAGTCCGGGGCTCTACATATCTGTCCGCATCATAAACCTTGGATGAGACCGGGACAATGGGCTTAGGTTGCTGCAGGGGAACAGGGGCGGGTCGGGACTGTTGTGGGAGGTCTTGCCTAGACGAGGTCACAGAAGCGCGGTCAAAGTCAAACTTGTCTGGGTCCGAAGTTGGCACGGGATACACATGCTGCATCGGCTGCTGCACTGACTTCTTCTCGGTCTTGGGTGACTGGACTTGTGCCACGGTTTCCTCGTGATGACGGCGGAACGAGCCTGCAGATCGAGGATCGTCCTGTTCGCCAAAGCCACAGGGGCTCTTGACGGCGCCGCGGAGAGAGTTATAAGGGCCGAAGAGACGCGGGTCGACGACGGTGTTCTTCCGTCCAGGCGGCTGAATCTGCTCAGGAGGCTCGGCCGAGATCCTAGCAGACTTGGACGGCTTGTCAAAGCCGTAAGCCAAGCCGCCGCCATCTGAGCTGTCGGAACTATCCGTAGACGATTCATCCTCGGACGCGGATTCCCAGTCGTCGTCAGAGGAAGACTCCTGCACTTTCGACGAAGGTCCCGCTTGACTCTTGCCGCCCGCTTTGTGATTGCGGAAGTGACCAAAGGCAGCAGCTGCACCGGCTATACCGGCGGCACCAGCCAGCTGGGACGCACGGGACTTCCCGGCGGCGCGCTTGTCGGATTCATTCTGCCTCCTGGCGATGTCCTGCAACTGGCGGCCAATCTCGAGGATTTCTTCATCGTCGGTCTTGGGCCGCGGCTCAGGCGGCGGTGGTGGTTGCTGACGGACCTCAGTAGGCGCAGGCTCATTCCGATACATGGCGGGACTGGCATAAGCAGAAGCCGCGGGGGTTGGACCCTGGCTCTTGTCGCGTTCAATGTAGCCGCGGCCGTAGGCCAGGTCGGAGTTGACCGAGGACGAAGACGAGTTCGTAGCGAAGAAGATGCGAGCCTTTTGCTTCTTCCTCCGCCGTCGCTCACGCTGCTCCGAGGGGGCCCTCCAAAAAGTGCTAAAGACACCGCCGAACCTTGGAGCCTTGGCCGAAACGTTGAGGAGGGACGACGAAGTGGATGACGAGGCGGACGAACTCGAGCCGCCGCGCGGGCGCGTTCTCGCAGGCTCGGTGTATGCCGATGCTGATGCTTGGGAGCCGGCATATCGATCGCGTTCGGCATATTGTTGGGGGGGTTCAGAATATCTCTCAGCTTGGGCGTATCGCTCGGGTTCTGGGTATCTCTGGGGGTTCCCGTACGATTGTTGCTGTTGGTATTGTTGATGATGATGATGATGTTGTTGTTGTTGTTCGTATCGCTCAGGTCTCGGAGCGTAGCTTTCATGATCGGGGTATCTTTGGGGTTCGGCGTAGGATTGGGAGTATTGCGACGGAGAGTATGTCTGGGGTTGGTATTGGTATTGTTGCTGCTGTTGCTGCTGCTGCGAATAAGGGTACTGCTGTGGTTGAGCAGACGGGCCTGGCATGCTGGATACAGTGGAGGGGGCGGCGGCGGCGGAGGCAAGCTGTTCGCGAGAATCACGCCGGTCCTTTCTTCGCCGCCTAGAGCTCTCCGGGCTCCGGCGACGTGGATCACCACGCATCATGGTTGAAGCGGCGATTGGGACCCCGTGGTGCGCATTTGTCGTGGATTGGTTTGCGCGCGATTGAATGACGGGATAATTAATTGTACGGTTGCTAGATGTATGCGCGGGGGTCCTTCAGGTCGGCGCAACGATGTTCGAGGGGCTGTTGCAAGGCTGATTGCGATAATCCGGTGATGTTATTGTTTTGTTTTTCACAGCAAGCAGCGGCCGGGACAAGCCGTGAAGCTCATCCTGGGGGTTCAGAAGATTGGCAAAAAAAGGCCGGGTGGGGGAGGAGGGTGGCTGGGGATCTGTTCTGGGACGATGGGTGGGTGGATGGTTTGGATGGTTTGGATGGTGGAAGAGAAGGGGTCAGGGTCGCCGGGGGTGGTGCTGGGTGGTGCTGGGTGCTGAGTGCTGAAAAAGCAGCTGCAATCTGCACTAACCCAGACTTGTCGGGCCAACCTCGCTGCTCGTAATCGGCCAAGGTTCAGGGTCCAGGGTGGGAGGAGCGGAGGAGTCTGCTTGGACAGGCTTGGGGCAAGTTGGAGCCTTTTGGGGGAGGGATGGAGGGGGAGACCTGGGCCTGATGCTGAATCCACTGTAAAAGTTCCAGCAGCACCTCAGTCCGCCGCCCGCGACGGGACAAGGCGAGACGACCTAGGACATGTTCGCTGCGTAAGATTGGCAGCCGGGGACCAGGAGAAGCGAGGAAACAGCCAGGATTGGTTGAAACAAGACCCCCCAGCAGAGCCAAGCTGCCGACATCCCTGTCTCCAGGCCTCCGAGCTCAAGCTACTTGGTGGTACGGATACTGCTCACTTCCAGGCTCCATTGCTGCAATACTTTGAACCACTGGACGGATATTGCGCCGTGCTGTCTGCCTTTTTTTTCGAGTCTCGACTCTCGACTCCTGCGTACGACAGACGCTGGCCATCACCACATCACAGGTGGCTCGAACCACGTCGACCATAAAGGCTTCCTCGACCACCACCAGCAACAGCAGCAAAGACAAATCACGAATCCTCGTCACCGAGCAGGCAGCCCCCCGAGTCTCAGACCTCAGATGACAGCACACCTCCCACACTGCCGTCCGCCACACTCGCACACCCACCCACTCGCCGCAGAGAGAGACAGACACACCCGGCTTGCTGTCTGTGACTCTCAACTCTCTTCCCGTCCCGCGGGTGTGTCTCTCAAGTCTCAACCTCTAATCGGTCAGAAACAGACCAGCTCGCTGAGCCGGTGCCACCGAGTGCCACTCCCGCCCTCCCCTCCAATCCATGTGGGGATCAGCTCTCGACTCGCCCCCTCCATGTCGCCATGCGCAGCTCTCATTCAACTGCACCACCACCACCAACAGCCGCGACTTCATTCCTTGCCAACGCATCTTTACCGCCTCTTCCCGATGCTGTCCCTCTCTTTTCTTCTCCCACGACGCTGCCTGTCGCCGGAGACCGCCCTACCCGATTCACTCGTCAACAAAGAGCCGCCGTACACTGCCTGTCTGACCCATCCCACCCTGTCCCGTCGCAATCGCACAACATCATAGCGCCGCCAGGGATCTTCATCGTGCTGCTGCTGCCGCCTACTGCATCTTGCCCTTCCCGGTCACCTGCGGCAACACGTGTTACCACTCTTGCTACCACCTCCTGCGCCCTGGGAGATTACACTCGCCAGCCCAAGGCCACGGCCATGATTCGCACCTCCTCCGTGACTGCTGTGCCCTGTGATTGGCCCTTTGTGTTTGCCACGGCTGCCACAACATTGGCACGTCGGCTATCACGCCGCCGCGTCTGAAAATATCGACACCTGTACCGATTGCTGCACGATTGCAAACGCTGTAGGCGCTTGCCCAATGCCTTTGGCCCAGCCTTGAGGCACGAGTCAACTGCCGTTACTAACATCCATCACCTCGTCCTTCAACTTTTGAGTGTGGCACTGCCAAGCACCCCATGGAAGGACAGGAGAGAAAAAATGCATTGTGATTTTAGACATGCCCGTGCCAGCTGGTCGACTCGGACGGCCGTCTTGGTTCGCCGGGATCCACTCGGTCCTCTCGGTGTAGTGTGGGTCATCGGGGATAGGTCCGGCCCGGAGTCGGACATCCCTCGCTGTTCGCGTAGTTCGAACGGCGAAATAAGTTCCGCGCCTTGGTTCCTCAGTTGCTTGACGAATGGGCTCACTTTCTATGACTTTCCAATTGCACCAATCTGGGTCGATTCCCCAACTGCTCGGCGACAGTAATAGATTCATCTGCCAAATAACCGTCAAGCGCAACATCCAGACGCATGCCTGATACTCGCTCAAGGAGTTTATTGCAAGCATCATCAGACGCTGGTCGTCTTTGTAGATTTTTGCTGTCTGTTTAAGCAGCCAGAAACAGAAACAGCTTGGTTACAAAAGCGAGGGCAAAAGAGTGCGTCAAAAAACCCACACGCCTCCGCGTATGTAAGCCAGAATGATACGAATCTCCAGAGAGCGTATGTCGTGATCTATTCATTATGTGATTGCTCGCCGAGCTTTTAAATGTTATATCAATAATTTCTAACATCTATTGGCCTTCGTGGAGGTAGTCCGCTGTCGCCGTTGGTTTCGTATTCAGTTGCTAGCTAAACCTGCAGAGTCAAGTCCGAATTCATCACTTCGTTTGATTTTTCTAGCTTCTGCCCCTCTGATTTTCTACGTGCTCAGTATCATTAGCGAGGTTTTCTCCTGGGTAAATCATCTAATTGTAAGGAGGCCCACATCTTTCGCGCTTACATACAATGTGTTGCCAGAACTGAAAGTGATTTTGTTAGGTTGACTAAGATATCCTGCAATAAACTAGATGCTTTTTTAGATACCTCTTTATTAGAATAAAGAAAACGTCACTCATGTACTTAGCTTGATTTGATGTCGAGAGGTACACCGGTCAAAGCGCCAGTTATCACCGCAAGAAATGCTTGGCATATCACTAACAGCATTCCGTGATTCGAAGTATAGAAGAACACTAATATTTCCCCTGGAAACTGCTCTGTTTCTTTTACTGACACCCTCAATCAGAAGGAGTTGTGTAGACATCATATTCAAGTCGAGCGTCGTTTTCGAGTGCCAAATTCAAGCGCAGCAGTAAACCAGAGGTTGACGCTATTGTTCCTCCATAATTTACATATTCCTGGTTCTTAATTGGGAGGTACATGTCCAATACGTCCACGACAGCCAACAGTCTTACCAACGTGGCCGATAACCTAGAGATGGCCATGACCAAGCAGATAGTGATAGCGCCCTTCCTTAGAGGACATGCAGCGATCTAAAGCAAAGAGGAATTAAGCTTTCTGGAAGAAGAGGATATTTCTCCTAGCTGCAAAGCATAGTTACAGTCTCTTTGCCAAGTGACTGTGTCAAAGCCACGTCATTCTACCTATTCCACCCAAGTTTCTCTGTATCTAAAGTGCCTGACTGACATCAACAGCATGTGGGAATCTCAGAACCGTAGACAGCTTTTCGGTATCAGTCTCAACCCTTAACTCCTCGAGGCAACATCCTAACGGAGCAAGCAAACTCCTCTGACAGAAATTGAACTGTCATCATAGGTGGAGCATCACTATCAATCAACAGAATCGAAGCTGCGTGCACCCCAGCTCGCTCGTCTGTTGCAGCACTTCTCGTGGTCACTAAGACTGACACCAGAGGACCTCAGTGATCACCAGCTCGAAATAGATTCATTGTCAACATGCTTCCTCGGGTTCAGTCAGGAAGCTGACACCCCGTAATTGGTGCGGATTACGGCCTGCACGGATGGCATCTGGATAACAATTGCTTCGTACACCTCCTCAGATGGCTCGATAAGACAACAGCTATGGATGGATATAGCATGCATGATCTTGAGTTCAACCTGATTATGGTTAAGAAAACAAGAACATATCCACAGTCTCGTCTGCTTGGACGGGTTTACCCCAACAATTTGTCTACAATTGAGCTGACGCTGAAAGGAACTAATCACTCAAGTGCTAGAACTGGTGGATTTCAATCCATAAAACCATGAGTTCATCATGATTCAGCGAAGATTGTCAGCTTGCTGTTCTCTATAAGTTCTACCATCATCATGACCAAAACGAATTGGGAGCTCATGTGTACTGCTAGACGTCGAGACAGTTGCCAAGCTTTCCTCAAAGATTATAAACAGAAAATCCATTCGCTATGCATTATGCAGCACATATCAATTGTGGTAGGTCGCATTCGGGCTGCATGTGTCGCCTTCGACTACTGTCGACTATCGGCAGAAGAGGGGCTTCCCGCCATGGTGCATGCGGGTGGCAAGAGAGAGAGAGAGAGAGGGGGGTCCCGAGGAAACACCAGATGTGGGCTTTGCGGGACAAGAGCGGGACGGATCGCGGGGAGGATTGAACATCTGGGAGCTTTCCAACGCAAAACCGAGTGCAAGATGGACTGGTATTCTCCATTTTTTGACGCTGAATCAACCGAAACTGTCTCAGTCGCATATGCTGAGCATTGGAGGCGAGGCCAATCGCCGTTTGTCACTTTAACCAAACTACCTTGGCACCGGCATGCCTTCCCCTCAATTCATCGTCATGAGACGCATGCGTACACCAAAACGTCTTGCGTACAACGCCAACAGGTATCTTGTTCGTCGACAGACTCGACTGATTTGGAAGCACGTCGAGTAGTTGCCGAGGCACCGGAGTCAAGCCGTCTTGACAGTCCAATGAGAATCCCTCCGCCGTCACTTATACGTCCATGGTGGGGGACATTCGTATTGCGTGTGCAAGTTTGTTATAATCTTGGATAACCTTTTCCTCGTGTGACTGGTATCGAGATCTGAGATATATGTCTGAGGAACAGGCCCTCGCGAGCACGAAATGCTACCCCGCTCCCAGACTCACATCTCCCGTGACTTCACTGCCGTATCAACAGCATCTTGCTCGCCAAAATCGTAGTCTCAAGCAGATTTGTGGCATCATGAATCCAGACGCAGAAAAGGTCAGCTACAGCCTCTTCTCCTGTATCGGAACCGGTTTCGCGGCCATTGCCCTCGGGGCACAGCTCAAACGGTGGTATGGAATCGAGGACATCCAGTTCTTTGAGCGTCACAGCTCGCTCGGCGGGACATGGTTCATAAACAAGTATCCAGGTATGAATACACTCCCACGGTGGCTGACTTCGTTTGACTGACACTCATAGGCTGCGCCTGTGACGTTCCGAGCGCGCTGTACAGCATCTCCTTCGCGCCGAACCCCGACTGGACCAAGGTCATGCCCTCTCACTCTGAGCTCTGGGAGTACCTCGACAAGGTGGCCCGCGACTAAGACCTCGTGAGGAAGATGGCCTTCGACTCGCCCGTCGAGCGCTGCGAGTGGATCGAGGACCGATCCCGCTGGCGGCTGACCATCCGCCACCGCCAGTCGGACACCACCTACTACCACGAGTCGCAGTTCCTGTTTGCCGCCACCGGCTGCCTCGTCACCCCCCGCGAGATCGACGTGCCGGGCGTGGAGACTTTCAGGGGCGAGGTCGTGCACACGGGCAAGTGGCGCCCGATCGACCTCAAAGGGAAGAAGGTCGTCATGTTTGGCAACGGGTGTACGGCTTCCCAGGTCGTGCCGGCCATCGTCCACAAGACGAAGAGCTTGACCCAGGTTGTGCGGACAAAGCACTGGATCATGCCGTCCCTCGACGCCGACGTCCCGCCGTGGGTGCGTCTGGTTCTCAAATGGGTGCCCGCCGTGGCGTGGCTCCAGCGGCTCATGATCTTCTGCGTCGCGGAAAACTCATTTCGAGGTTTCCGCATGACGGACGGGGGCAAGAAGTTCAGGGCCAGCCAGAGGAAGGTGTCGGAGGACTACATGAGGGCCGCGGCGGCGAGACTCTCGGGGAAGAGGGGGCGTACAACACCACGGCCATGAGCGGGTTTCCAAACTTTTTCTTCCTTCTCGGTGAGTCGCTTCGAGACGAAGAGGCCCAGCAAACTGATAATGACGTTAATAACAGGCCCAAACTCCGTCACGGGACACACGTCCACCGTCATGGCTCTGGAAAACTGCATCAACTACGCCTTGCGTGTTATTAAGCCTATCCTGAAAGGACGGTCGACCGCCGCGGTGATCAAGAGCGATGCCGAGCAACGCTACGTCGATGACATCCAAGACGCCCTGCAGAAGACGGTATGGAACACGGGATGCGGCGCTTGGTACACCAAGACCTCCAGGGACGGCACCAAGAGATGGAACGCGATGGGTTACCCGTACTCTCAGCCGCACTTCTGGTATCGCTGTCTCTTCCCCGTCTGGTCGGACTGGCAATACAGTGTAAGTGGTGTCCCCAGACGCGTTGGTGAGTGGCTATTTTGAAGCATGCAAAACTGACTACTCCAGGGACGAGCCGCTTATGCTTCGCAGATTCATACCAAAGGTTCTGGCGTCTGGATCACGGCGTTACTGGTTGCCATCGTAACCCTCGCCGTCCTGGGCTTTCTCGGGAGAGACTGGCTTCGTGGGATCGTGCCAGACCTGTCGGCGGCAACTCGAGGTTCTGCTGCGTTTGTGCCTAATTATCTGTGAAGAGAGCTATGGTGTCTTCATTGTTTGACAATGGATGCAGATCCTGAAAGAGGTCTCAGGCGAGTAGGTCAGCAAATAATTCAGAAGCTACCGTATGTCCAACTCGATCTACGTAGATGTTTGTCACACTGGTATTCATCTAAGTCGGCATCGGAACCATGTCAAATTGCTTGATTCCCAGATTGCCACACATCGTCGAAGTGCAGACAGGTCGGAATTGCTTGCTACTACTCTCGCGTGGTGTGTGATGCTTCTAGCTCCAATCTCGATCTCGGATGCTCACCGTGAGATGAATCCAAACCAGAATGCCGTCTCCGACCACTCACATTGTCTAGTGAATCCCAGGTGCTTCGCCGAGACATTACACGACCAACAAGAGCCATCGAAAGCAGGGCGCAAACCTCTGACGCCGGACCGAGCAGCTCAATGGGCAGGCGCCGGCTCTCTGTCCTACTGTCCATCGGAGGACATGGCATGATTTCTCACGTCGTCAGGCATTGAGAGACGGTGCTTCCAGCGCCACGTTGTGGCGTCTGTAACTAGCGGCAACATACTGAAAGGGCAGGGAACACAGACGTTGGTCCGCAACAAACAAGAATGCTCAATCACAATAGTTTGCCAGTCTTAAAGGTGAAGGCATGAAACCAGTCGGACGACATTGGAGCCTTTCAGCCAGCCTCGCCGTGTCGGGTGTAGTAGAATCGGCAATAGCCCCCGTGGGCTGACAGGTCTCTGATTTGCTAGGCGAAAAGTTTCCTAGTAGATATCACACCTGCCGTCATTGGGCAAAAGGATGCAAAGGGTGAAAGATGACGAGCAGCGCCCGACATTGGCAGGGGTGGAATTCTGGAGGCGCCGCTGAGGCGTCCGGAGTGTCTCAACCGCACGCGAAGAAAATTGGCTGATGGTGAGGCTCGAAGCAGCAGCAGTTGATGGGGCGGTCTTCATGTCGACAACACCGAAGAGAAGGATATGGGTAGCGATGGAAGGCGAGTGACGTGATGCGTCCTCTGGAGAAGATGGATTGGCCACTGAGGGATCATCGCCGATACGGACGTGGTGGTTGGCTCATCAAGCGCGCATCATTCTTCGGTTCCTCAGTTCGCCGCTCAGAGTTCGCCTGCCTGCCCGCCTGTGGACAGGATGATTAATGACGATGAGCGGCCGAGAGCTGGAGGGGGTTCAGGTGAGCCCAGACTCGTGCTGTGGCAGGCACTGGGAGGGATGGGATCGGCGACGCAAGTGGATGTGGCCAATGGGAGGCGCAAGGCAAGGGGACAGGTCGAGCTGTGATTAGGTCGTGGCTCAGCTGACGCAGCGTCTTTGGGGGCCAGCAAGCGTCGAGGTTGTGTTTCTTTCATCTTCTCCCCCCAATGTTTCCAGTTACTTTTTCCAGTTTCCAAGGCTGAAGGCGAGGTGCTTGGACTTTGGAGAGCGGAAGATGACGAATGAAAGGCGGCAGGGCGGGATACTGCTCAGCACGACGGCGGTCGCAAGGTGTCTCAATACTGTGGTTGGCTGACGATGCTGTGCCGAACTGGGAGCGCAAACCAACCCAGGGACAATAGTCCTGTTTTTATGGGCGGATGCTGCGTATGGCATGACCTCATGGCCAACCGATCGAGAGATCGGGCAACGGAAGACGGACGGAGGGCTGTCGCCTTGGTTCACAAGAATGCCCGGCACCGCGGACGCAGTAGCTGTCGAAGCATGGGGAGAAAAGGGAAGCGAAAGAGTCAGCCACAAGGACGTAAGTAAGGTACTAGACGGTAGCATCGCATCGCATCGCATCGCCTGGGAGAAGTGCCGCAAGGACAGTTCCCAGTTCAGGCGACTCGCCGGCCTCAGGGGTGACGAAAAGGGCATTAGCTCCTCAAACTTGAGAAATTGACGACCGAATGAGGACGGAACTGGCTCCGAATGATGCGTGGCGAGTTGAAGAGCCGACAAAAGCTGAGGTACGCAGTACCTGGGTATTTGAGGTGCCATCGATTGGTCGGCTACCCTGTCCCTCGGCCGTCTCTTCTTCTCGGTACCTTGTCTTTGGCTGGGCGATTTGTTTGGAGTGCGGGCTTGGTTGCTTAGGTTGACAACACGCGCGAGGCAACAGGCGGAGGTTTGCAACGCATGCCGCGGGAATCTCAACGTCCGGCGTGGATCGACAGGCCCAGCCATGTGTGACTTGGTGAGGATTGGCCCGGGCAAGAGGGACGGACGGGATGCCGGCGGGCTTCACGTGTGGGCGCGCGTTTACCGCAGGCGATGCTGGAGTGTTAATTGAGTTGCGGGTGGGCGAAGCTTGGGCTCGTAGTTCGCTCCATGCGTCGTGGGATGGCCGACTCGAAGAGATGAAAGAGATGCGGCGATGACTTCCTGGTAGGTAGACAGACGAGGGGCGTTCGTACAGGTACTCAGTCGATACCTGCTGCACGCCGTACAGAAGGTTCAATCTGATCTGAGCTGGATGTCGATGCCTCTGGTCGCAGACAGCCATTGTGCAATAAGGCAGGGAAGGGCGAGGCGGGGAAGTGGGAAGTGAGGCACAGCAAACAAGGCTCGGGAGCAAGCAGAGAGGGCGTTCGAGGCTGATTACCACCCAAGCCAAGGTGCCTTGGGTCCGCTGTTCGTGTTAACTGCCCGGGCATACTTTGTGAGTTATTGTTGTCCAGTGGCTGTGGCTGGGTATTGTTTAGTGTTGTGGTTCCATTGCCAGAGACTATCCTATCCGTCCGTATCGCATGACTGAAGCAAGCAGAAGCAACGAGTTGTCTCTCAACAGTTGATAGCTAGATCTTCGTAGCTTTTCTACCTAGGTAGCTAAGCATTACAGGCGTATTCGTACGGCGAATGGGGTTGAGCCGTGGGTGGTGATCATCAACGCAGCGCAGCGTCTTTGGGGTGCAATTTGAGGTGGGAAAAAAGACCTCGCATGCTGGGGATGGCATTTGCGCCGCGGATCTTGCGTAAAGGTAAGGTAAGGTAAGTTGCCTGCCTGTACCTGGCGGGACCGGGACTGCTGAGTGTGAGTGACCTCGGCTTCCTCAGCTGGGAGACGGGCGGGCGGTACGTGTGGGCAGTACAGAGTACCTCACCAACCTACCTACCCTTACCTTACCTCACAACCATGTGCACAATGGATGCAAAGCCACGTCGGTTTACGAGGTGTGAGGATGGAACCTTGGCGCGCAACAGTCACCTCAGCATTCGGTTCAGGACGGGAAGGGTGAGGTGGAAGGGCAGGGCAGGTTCACGGTGCATTCAGGCCGGAGCGGGTGGGACGGGGTGAGGTGGAGATGGAGACGGAAACAGTGTCCCAAGAAAGCAGCAGCGTCCAGCACCAGCACCAGCACCAGCATCACCTAGCACCGGTGCAGCACAGGTCTGCGAGAGGCTGGGGCTCTGGCTTTGCACAGCCACCGCGGGGGCCATCAAGCCCTGTTTAGCCCCCCCTCCTCGGGCCCCCTCAGGCTCCATTTCCTCAGGGAAGCAACACTTGAATTTCCAGACCAAGAAACCCGTGTCATATTCCAGTTTTTTTTTTCAGTTTTTTTTTCGTTGTTGTCCCCCTCTTCCTTTATCCTCTGCCTCTCAAGGTGCTGCCCGGGTGTCGAGGCGAGACGGATTCCACAGCTGTGGCGTCGCAGGCTGGAACTCGCGAGAGAACCTAAAAGTGCATCGTGGCGCAACCTGGAGGAAATGCGGCGGACGAGTGTGTAAGCCCGTACTCCGTGCTCCGTATTTCGCAACCCATCCATCCGCCTGGCCGACTTGCGCCCGCGTTGTTTACATACCTATCCCTCCATGAGCTGCCTACCAGACCTAGGTAAGGTACCTACGGAGATAGTTGTCGCCGTAGGAAGCCTGCCTGCCTACCTGCCTACCTACCCTCCCTACCAAAGGCATAGGTCTGACCAAGTACGTTAGCCTTTCCGGCGCTGTCAGGTACGGCAGGGCATGGCAAGGTAGGTAGGTACCCAGCGTCGCCCATCGCGTGTGGAGGGAGGTACCTGGCTGCTGGGCCTGGTGCTGGGCTGCTGGGCAGCTTGGGTTCCCGGCGGCGGGAATACTGGGCCGAATGGCGGGTTGTGTTCACACTCTCAGCAGCTCCCACCCCCGTTCAATCGCCAGCTGCTGCGGCCCTCTGTTGCTCCACCCGTCCGTCATCGTCCACCACCCACCGGGCTCACACTACCTATACCTTGCAGGTACCTGGCTTACCTAAGGCACGTAGCCACACTGTGCTCTTGTCCCCGGTACATTCCCCCCCCTCCGCCGTCAAAGCCGGAGCTGTCTTACGCAGCCCACCTACGTATGTACCTCCTCCATGGAACCTCAGCGAAAAGTGACCCGCCCTCCTCTGCTGTGGCCGAGGGCCTGTGGCTGTTCGCGGGCACCATCGCACCGCATCAGAGGTCAGCTCCTGGCCAGGCAAAAGTCCATGTACCTGCCACACCTGCCTCCCTCCTCCAGGTACCTAGGTATGCCTACCTATCTTACCTACCTCCCTCACCTACCTAGGGTACCCGGGGACACCACACACACACACACGCACACTCTCACTTTCGGCCCTCTGCCTCACCTCTGCTCCCCGTCCAGTCTCTCTCTCTCTTGTGTTGCTGATGCTTGCTGCTGCTCTGCTGCTCTGCTGCACCCGCCGCGCCGCCGCCGCCGACGCCCTCCACCCCATTCCCTTTTCCTCCAGCTCCTGCCACACCTCGAATTCAGTCTTCTTCTTCCCTCCCTTCCTCAACATCACATTCGCCTCCTCAGCCTTTTTGTCGTCACTGCACCCACGGGAATACACGCGCATCCGGGGGTTTCCCAAAAACTTATTCCATCCACGACCTTGCTGCACCAGCCTCACAACTTCAATCCACCTGCTGCTCCCGCCACATTCCACCGTGACTCGTCCGCCCGTCCCGTCATATTCGGGGTCCTGAACCCGTCTAGAAGCAAAACACATCCGCCACACGTGGCTGAACAACCCGAAGCTCCCATGA